GTGCAGGGCATAAAAAAAGACAACAAATCAATACGACTCTTTGATTGGCACTTTGAAATTTAAAACATAGAAACCAATTGGCACGAATGCTAGTTAGCTTAAGTTCAAGGTTTACACAGAGCTGATACGCTGTTTAAATTCTAAAATATTTATTATTCCTATTGCAATTCATAACGACTTAAGCTCTAATAATCAAATCAAATCGTATTTGATTATAATTGTGTTAAGGCCCGCCTTGCAAATGTCGGTGTTGTACTCGGGAGTTGCCTTAAGCCACTTGTCATACTACTATTTTAATCCTTTCATTCAGATGGCTGAACTGTTAAACTAGCTTATTAATTCCATAAAATTTGTAATCCCCTTACAAGAGCCAAGCTTAAAGTGTACTCGTAGGCCTTCAGCTCGCTTGAATTAATTAAACTTGCCTTGTTAGACAACCGAGGGGCGTTTTGTGTTTAAACAGCCTCTGAACTTCGCCCATATCCACCTTAAATGACGCCTCAAAGTTGGCAGTAATATATTTCAGTTGTAGGCAGCTCGGTAGCTCGGTCCAAATAATAACCAACAAGTGTCTCAACTTTTACTTTGAGTTTCGGGTCCCATTCTCCAAATTCAGGCAGGGTAAAGTGATTGCGAGTGCGAGTGCGAGTGCAAACATAAGCGACCCTTTGGCCGGCTCAAAATGTCTCACGTTTCAGCCACTTCTCTACCATAATTAGAGCCAAGAGCAATTTGGAAAACACTTGATGCTGGCAATTATAAAGTTGAACAACATTTTTCTTTAGCTGTTTCGCCTGGCGAGTCTGGCGTTTGCCCTGCCAGCGCTTCCGGCTGCAAGTGTAATTAATTAGTTTTCAATTTCGCTCAGCTAAATATGCATAATTTATGTGCCGGTGACTGGGCTGCAGGACCAGCTATGCAGCGTCCAGCATCCAAACGGCCGTAATAAAATTTACTAGCTATTACTGAAGTTCGCTCTTAGCAATATTTTTTTTTTGCTCTTTCATGCACCCTAATGCGTTGGTAGTTTGGGTATCATAGACAAAAAAGGTAAAGTATTTAAAAATTAAAAAAAGAAAACTAGGAGAATTGTAAAATAAATTTTTTAACACATAAAAACATATATAAATGTTCTTATTTATATGAAAAGAAACTTCACATATTTTTGTAGGGTAACTTTTTGTCGAGCAATGCATTACCGAATATTCTTTGTTCGCCGTGCGCCAATTGCTTTTTTCGTTTGAGTTGCGCCGTGCGACAATCGCAAGGGCAACACCGGCAGATGCAGCTGCAGTCGCTGGTGTCGTTGGCTGCGCTTCCTCCATTTCCGTAACAAACATTTCCGTTTCACATTGTTGCAAATTTATTGTTTCCTTGCGGTTTTTAAAATCACCCAGTGGCTGGCTGGGTTCGCTCTTAAGAGCCAAATGGCTAACTTTAGCAACATCTCATACTTGAACTCAAAGGATGGCAATATCCTTTACGACAGCCGTGATTAACAATGCTAACGCTTGCGCCATCAAAAGCTTTTATCCAAAAAAAAAAAAGCAGAAAACTAAAATAGACGAGAAAAGCTGATAAAATAAGAAGCCGACAGGCAAACGGATGTGCTGGCGCTGTCTCACGCAATGGCTGCTAACGTCCGGCCGGAAATACGCATTTAGCTGCATGTAGAATTGTTACGTTTTTGTCAACAAGCAAATTATAGGAGCATTTCTTATTTTGGCCGCCGTCTTGGCTATGAAAAATGAAATTGTCGTTGCTAATAAATCATTTCGGCAAATTCCAAGTGACTTTTTTGTTTATTTTCTGTTGTTGTCGCTGCCGCTGCCGCTGCCGCTGCCGCCAACTGTTTGTACTTATTTCCGTTTCCGTTTGCCGGCTAGCTAGTCACCGCAAAACGCGGCCATTTTTCTATAGCTGCCCTTCGCTGTTATATATGCAAAATACGAGCATTTTCTGCGCCGTCATTTCAACTGGCATAATTAATTACCAGAGCGCGCACATTTCCCAGCGGCATCGACGATGTCGTTGCGTGTGCCAAGGCAAACGGCAAACGGTGCTAGGCCCTAACCTCAATGCTTCCACTTGACAATCAACACCCCGGAAACGGGCCCCGGCCTCAGGTGCGGCTGTTGCTGACAGCTGCCTGAGAGTTAAACGGAAGGGAATATGAAAAAAAAAAGGCTGCGGTAATTGGACGCCTTTAATTATATGAATTAACGCTGGGCGCAGACAAGGCGTGACCAGGATTATTGTTAACTGATCGAAAAGTTGATTAACTGCATTTCACAGGCTAGAAACATGCACTCTACTCTACACTAATTAATTGGCTATCATGATAACGAGCTTAGTGCATCTTAATCAGATCTACATTTATGCACTGCCTTGTTTAATTTGAATAATTAATAATAAAATGAAAATGCTTTAATAAATGTCATTCACATGCTTACGTCCCTTTAACCCAAGTCTGGCAACGCTAGACTTAAAATCCACGCGCATATATAGACAAATGGTTCCTTGTACTTTAGTGATAGTCCATTTATTTTCATTGAGCCGTATCAATGACTGCTTTTGGCGCTTTAACGAACAACACTTTTCAATTAGGACTCCCTTCACGATACGTCAGGCCTATCCATCCTACTGTCAGTCATTATAGCAATGCAACTCAATTAGACGCCGCTGGACTCCCAAAAAGGATGCAATGCAGCAAATGCAATATGCTGGTGCCGGAAAAAGCACTTTAATAGGCGGCAACATATATGTGTGCGTGAGCGTGGATGTAATGGTGTGAGTATGCATACGTGCACATTTGACACCATGAAATTGAGTGAGCTGCAGCTGTAGCCGCACGACTTGACAGTCTACACTTCGAACAGGCAAAGGAACGAGCTAGTTTCTCCGGCTTGGTCACGATTTGTGTGTGCTGAATAAATGGAGAAGAGCCTCAATCGTATATGAGTTATCACCTCGAGCACATTGATTTATGCAGTCGCCGAGAAAACGACCCGCATGGCTGCTGAGATAAGAATTAATTGGCAAGTGCAGTGCGCAAATAAATTGCATAGGCGTGGGTGTGGGGTTGCTGTATGCAGATAGCAACCGGTCGCCGGCAGCCGGCAGCAGGGATATGCACTACAGTGGCCACAATCCACCAGAGCAGCAACAACGTGAATTTGCTATACTACTATGCTGTGGGGCAGCAGCAGCCCTCTGCTGCGTAGCGTTGCTCTTAATGTAAATGTGACAAATGTTTTACGACTGGCTGCGCCTGCATCGGCGATGACTCCTGTTGACTCTGGGCAAACACCTGTAAATGGGTTTATGCCACAGCACATACAAACATATCCGTCCACCCACATGCCCACACACACACACACACACGTTCAACTCACCTACCACCGACTAGCTCCGTCAGCTTGTTTGCATTTCACGCATATTTTAGCCTGCTCTGGCCCCAGTTTCCATTTGCATCCATTGCAGTTTGCATTGCATTTTTGTCCACATTTCGAGCGTATATACCACATGCAAATCTGTACTAAGCCCACCTGCCCTCCACGAGCTACCTGTGTGTAGCTTTCAGTTAATTAATTGCTCGGCTACCTTTCATTTTGACTCAGTATTTCAAGATATTTGCAGTATATGGGAAATATTACACGAATCATTATTGGGGAAAATCTAAAAAAAAAAATTCAATTTTTTGTGCAAGCCAAATTTTTGACATTAATAAATCAGTTATAGCTAAACTATTATGTCGAATATTGAAAACATGATTCATTATACAATTAATATTAAATTCGATTTAATAGAAGAAAAAGTGGCTTAAGTAACAGCGGTAAGAAAATGATATTGTAAATGCATATTGAACATTGATTATGATATGAACAGAGCCGTGCACCTGTCGCCACCATCGGTCGTAATTTCCTGACGTGGCGAGAGATCAAAGCAAAATGCAATTTCCGATAAAGCGCGCTGCTCCACTTGTTCTTTTTTATGCCACTAGCAGCAGCTGCATGCACCCATGTTTTACGGTCCAGCCTCATAACTGTAAAAGAGAACGCTCCAGCAATAGCACACAGCAGACAGGTGAAAAGAACACACACAAGTAAAAACACATAAATACGAAAATGATGACTAAGCGCATCAATTCCAACAACTCGTCACAACAGCAATCCTGACTATCTGACCACGAACCATGGAAGAATATGCTTGCGAGATGTAAAGGCTTTTTATTAGCTCCCTTGGCCGTCGGGTAAAGAGTATACGATTTCGATATGGATCACACCCACTCACTGTCTTTGTGCTTTATGTTTCTGGTTATATTCGCTTTTGCAGCTTCCTTTGAAGCAACTCGATATGCCAATGCACTGAGAGAAATTTCAAAGGCATTAGCTTTAAAAATAAAAATATTTAAACAATAGTTTGCCTCTCTCTTTATCAAACATTACAGAATTTCTATAAATTTTTCGTTAGTCAATAAATTTTTCAAAGTCCATAAAATATTTTATTAATATAACATCCATTTTTTTTATCAAACAATACCTATATCATCATAATTATATTTTATTATTTATTTGCGTGCATTGTAAATACAAAAAATAAATAAGCTGATTTCAAATTGGAAATTATTGCAAAAGAATTTAATTGATATGCACGGAATGTACGTTCCACCAATTGTCACTGAAGACATGGAATTATTTAATCCTATTATCAAAAAATCACTTTAAGGACTTACGAACTAGCAAAAACACAAACAAAAATAATTTTTCAATAGTTAAATAATCCTTAGAATTTTATGCTAATTATATACATTGAAACACAAACAACAACAAAAGGATTTAATTTATTTATAGTTAGCATCACTTTTCAATTTCGGTTTGCAGCACGCGTATTTCGATTCAGTTTTTCGTATTTTAGAACAACAGAGATGACATTTAAATACAAATATCAATATGCATATATAAATACCAATATCAAATTGCACAATTTTTATATATATGGAAACACATAAACACAATGTTGGTGATATTTTTTGGGCTGGTTATTATTATGCATATGGACTACATATCATATTTTGAGTGCAGCCCATGGCATTTACTTTCAGTGAGATGTGGATGCAGGCTGGCGGATTTTGTTCAGTAATAAGCCTCGCACTGCATCTCTCGGCGCCAATGTGACCACTCCGCACAGCCCCGTGTTTTTGCCGTTTGCACGAATCCTTTACCGGATGTACAGTCGAGCAACAGAGGCGTGGCCTTAACACCCGGACACATGTAGAATTGATTGGGATCCAGCGCGGCCCATGGCTGGTCCTTTGCGTGCACCGTGCTGCTATTGCAGCTGGACGTTAGCTCTACAGTGGGCCGACAGGCTGGCCAGTGGTCATAGGGCAGGCAGCCCAGATGGCCGTGGCCATTGAAAAAACCCCGGCCCTGTGGGCAATGCAGCTGCAGCGGCATTTGGTCCGCCACAGAGCATACGTAGAATATGTTGGGATTCGGATCGCCCCACATGTTCGTGGCATGTTTGCATGTTGCATTCGTGGCCTCAACGGATGCGTCCGCAACCCGCAACATCACCATCATACTCAACATCATCATCGTCATCACATATCTGTGATGCAGCTTCACTCGTTTCTCGGCAGTCCACACATTTCTCATAAATAATTTCATCGGCAACTTTTTATGGGCACAACACTGTCACGAATTCCCTTTAAATGTGCTCGTATTATTGTTATTTTGTTATTATTTTACGTCTCTATAAGCAGTGGTATTTGGTTCATCAATGTAATATATGAATATATGATCTGCTATCCTTTAAAGGCACGTATTCACAGTACGACACAAAAACATTGACTGATTGATACGGAGCTATTGCCATTCATTTTTATACTCATTGCAGTCGTGTCATTGCTTTTGCTTTTATCTTCTGGTATTCCCATTGTCACATTGTCAAGACTTTTGGGCGTACTGAAGCTGTGACGTTCGGCAGCTGTGTACCATTTCATTTTAAGTATGTTTACTGATTAGACAATGAGGCAGAGCTCAAAGTTTTCTATTTGTGAATTGCATGCTCTATATATATTAAAAGTAAAGTATTTATTTATTTTCATAGGGAATTACAATGTGGCAGTAGTTTCTTATCCAATTATGTGCTTTTTTATGTGATTCTAAATAAAACTCCCCTAAGAAATTATCTTAAATTAAGCTAGGGTCTACAGAGAACGACAAGTTAAGTGACACAGAGCAGTGGGTGTAGCAGGTTTATATGCACAGCTCTATATATAAGTTATAAGTTATTAGTTATAGTTACTGCAAATAAAATGAGTTTTTAAAATGATTAACTTTACATTTTTTAATACTCTTAATGATATATTTCTTGGTCACGCTATTTTCCTCTTACTCTTATCTTATTTATTATTTCTACTGTTATTGACTTCTTTCTTCGGTTGAGTTAAATTGGTAAAAAGCATTCGCTTAAAATAAAAATATAAAAATAAACTTATAATGATTTCAAAGAACTCTTAAACTCTTAGTAGTTCATAAGTGACTTTTGCAGTCAGAATTCCAATCAATGTGCGTCACTAAATTTTGAATTTACACTGTGATTCAGTCACTAAAATGAAATCAGCGTAAAATTCGACTACCGAAAGAAGAATCAGACAGAACTAAGCATAAAAATAAAAAATAAAATCAAAAAAAAAAAGAAGACAAAAGGTGACAAGGGCCTTATCAATGCGATAGCATAACATTAATTGCCTTTCAAATGAAGGTAAATTGGAAATTATTGCTGCAGGGCAATCAGACAAAATTTAATTACAAACTCCCGAGCCACATGACAAGCACCAGAAATGCCTCGCCGTGCAGGCAGCAGCCCTCTGCAGGTGCAGCTGCTGTCAAAAGTTCTAATTGATTTCGCTTACAGCGAAATTCCAGACAGCGAACCAGCAATCGAGCCCAGATGCGGACTTGGGCCTAGGCCATATTACCTGCAAGAAAAAGTTCTCCATTTGCTTTCGCTGAGTTTTCTTTGTTGTTGAGTCACGTTGTCAATTGAACTTCTTACCGGGCGTTCCGCTGTCGTTCCTGAAGTGGCAGCCAGCTCAGCTCAGTTTAGCTCTGCCTCAGCCCAACCTCAGTCTTACTCTCGCCTCGACTCGGCTCTGTGGCAGCCACTTTTCGCAGTCTATTTTACGCGCAGCAAGTTTAAATAGAGAAACTTCTGGTAGCAAAAGTTGACAACATAATCGACATAAATTCCAATAGGCCATGTGGCATCAAATTCTATTAAAACTTTACATGCACATGCGCAGCAGCTGACGAGCGAAATTCTTAATAAATACGCAGCAAATGGATTCTCATTTTGGAATTTGCCAGGCCACTTCAAATGATAAGTGCCCAACAAAATCTAAAATAATAAAGAAATTCTTCGTAACCAAAAATTGAAAAATTACTGACAGCTATCTGCTTTGTAATGCGTCCGATAACCGGCTCCCGGTGCGTATTATATGCGGCATCAGTAAACCATTGTCAATAAGTCATTGAAGAGTTGATATCAATTGAGGTGCAAGATAAGTCTCATGATTATTTTTTTTTCAGAAAAAGTTATAAATTTCCCAGCAGTAGCGTCAAATGAATTTAGTCCATTTTCTAGTGTACAAAACTCAACATGCTCAAAGGTGAAGCTTAAGTTTTTTAAATAAAAAGTGCTAAAACCTAAAGAAGAATAAAGGAAAAAGTGAAATAAACAGTTTGAATTGTGTTCTCTTGAAATCAAATCAAAGATCAGTTTAAGTAACAGCAAAAAAAATCATATATATTTTGAAGTACTCGCATAATATATGTAGATTGGACAAGTTACAACATTCGAATTCACATATGAAAAAGCTATAGTGCAGTAATTCATTACGATTGTGTTAAGCATCACCAAGTGGCCTACTTCCTAGGCACCTCAATATGCGTACATACATACTGAAAGACACATGCACACATACGCTCCAATGTATACAATATATATATACACAATAGTACCTAATCATATAATTGTTCAAAGTGCAGTCATCTCCGCGATCAATAAATAAAGTCCTTTCACAAGATTAGAACTCACAACCTCAATGCTAAACTGAAATTTTACTATTAATAAAATAATTCCAAACCAGACTATTTTAAGTAAAAGTTCTTAAGTTAGGTTATCTTAGACATATACCTCTTGCTTAGTAATAATTATGTACTTATGATCCATTTACAGTTATTTTAACATTCGTGGTGCTATTGGCGCTCAGCAGCGCAGCCAGCCTCGATTCGGACGAGGACTCCACAACTATTGTTCCGGACACCTGTTTAAATGAAGACGAATTATGGGCCACTGACAATTTGCATGCATATTATTTCTGCTGGGACGGAGTGCCGATACTTACGGAGTGCAATGAGGGATATTATTTTGTGCGCAATGCCACCGACTCGGGCTGCATACCCGCGAAGCTAATGAATCCAAACTGTGTCAACTTAGACATAACTGTGGGCCCCTGCACGGGAATCAATCTGCTGCAGCCTCAGACAAGCCAAAATCTAAACAACTTCTGGCTGTGCACCGAAGAGGGTGCCGATCCTGTGGAGCTGACCTGTGTTGACGACCTGGTGTTCGTCAAGCAGGATGGATACCTGGGCTGCTTCGATTGGCAGACATTCCGCTCTGTGCGCGGCTGCAATTAACCGACGGCCAATAAAAGGTTATCTAACGGCGATTGATACTGTCCGCCGAGCATTTTTAATTTTCCATTCTACCGTTTCTATTTTTTCTATAAAGCGACTTTATCATGATTAAATACAACTAAATTGAATGGAAATTATAAATTTAAAATTGATTACAAAATAATTAACTATACAATTGATAAGATACAGCGGATCAATAAACGCAGCTCGATAAGGGCTATCAACTAACTACGCCAAAAAAAAAATAAAACAAAAAAAACACTAGAAAATTGAACTTCCGGGCAAGAGGAAAATTACATGGAGACCAGACCACAATGCAGGAGGTTAAAATGAAAGCTTTTTGCAAGAAAAATTGCAAACTGAAGCGCAAACACATTTGTGGCATGTGTATTTGTGTGTGTGTGTGCCATTTGAGCTAGCAGAAAAAAAAAAAAAAAACAATTGTCACCGCACATTTGAACCTCAACAAAACAACACGAAATGGCAAATTGCAGAGCAGAGAACTAAGGGAAGCGGTCAACCTGTGTGCGTGTGTTGTGTCAACTTTCAGTGAGTTCAAAATGAGTTTTAACTTGGACATTCAAGCGCATTAGTTTTGTTAGATTTATTTATGTTGTTTATGCTCGAAATGGGAAATAACAGTTTTTGGAAATGCCAGCAAGGTGAGTAATGTTTGTTGTTGTGTTTTAAAAACAAAACAAAACAAAGCACATGCTATCTTATCTAATGTGCAGCTGCTGCTCTTCCACTTTCTTTTCACTTGTCTCAAATGACAGCTAACTATTTTCATACATCTTAACTGATAAAAGGCAGCTGCTCAATTAAATTTGTATACTCATTCAGTGAGTGATAAAAATACATCAGTGTCTTGCTATGTTCGTCTTGCTGTCTTTCATCTATTGCATTTTTAATCAATTTAGCTGCATCAGTATATACTCCCTCCAATAACTCTGAATAAGGCATTAAGTCCGCATTTCAGTTGTAGGCAGAGAAACATAGTAATTTGTAATATATATGTAGATATAAAAAGAAAAGGAACGTTCAGTGTAAGCCCAATTTGCTACAGGTAAGCAATTTGTTGGTAGCCGTAACAAAAAGACTTCAACATAACTCTAAACAGTTGACTCTTCAGAGCCTCACGGATAAGTACGCATTCAGTTACGCAACGTCGGACACAAGATGAATCCAACCGAGGGCTAAACGCTCGCTACATGCGACTCTATTGCCTAGGTAATAAATGCCTGAGTGCGATACAGTTCACTGCACATACTTGGACACATGCCGACACACACATAAACATACATATGCATACATAGTGTGTGTGTGTGAAGTTGAAGTGTCAGTGACACGAAGCTGCTGCAGAAGCGCAACAATAACAACAACAACCATGACAACTGCGCCATTGTGCCCCCAAATGAGTTAGTCAGGAAATTGCATTATTTGTCTTTGGCTGTTGTTGCGGGTAAAAACGTGGCGCTGCCCTTGCCCCATTCTCTCGCGTTCTCTTTTGAGCCTGAAGTCAAGTGCTGCCCAGTTTAAAACGGGTCCGGCTATCTCCGTTGCGACACTGTGCTGTCACACATGCGAATTTCAAATACGCTCTCCAAGTCACAGCAATTTTTCTGCACCATTTCCGACTGCTGGTGCAGCTGCAGCTGCTGTTGCCACTGCTGTTGCTATTGCTGTTGCTGTTGCTGCATTTTAATTGCTTGGCTTGGTGTGCCGCCTGGACCATTAATCCTGCACAAGTTGTGCACCGAAGCTACGAAAAGGGATTTTTAAAGTCACAATTGTCGTATGTTATCAACACACACACACACACACACACACAGTGCCAAAGTGAGTGTCCAGTCGACTGTCGCGTCGAGAACTTGGCCTGTAGTTAAGGGCCATGAAGCTGTCGCAACGGTGCTCAGATTTAATTGAGTTTGCAATGGTTTTGCGGCCTGGGCAACTCGAGAGTTTTGCAACTTATGCATTTGAATTGCCAGCCAACGGGCTAGCTGAACTTTGGCACAACGGCCAGCAGCGCGCAGTCAACGGCACACAACTTCCGTTTCCGCACTTTGACGGACATGGGTCAACGCTGTTGTTATTTTAATTACGTTTGTGTGCGAGTGTGTGTATGTGTGTGTCAACATAAACAGTGCTACCATAAACCTAACTGCCTGCGACAGACACGGCGTATACGCAATGCGCCAAGAAGCATGCAACAATATTTCAGCTTTTGCTTTGCCTTGAGCTATTTGCACGGCACTTCCTATCGAATGCCCATAATTGGCATTTTTTCACTACCCCTCCTCATTTTTTCTGTCCTTTTTCCTGTTTTCGCCTCCACATTCCGTTCTTGAGCTCGGCGACAGCCGCTACAGAAGTGAACTTAAGCGGCACCAGCCACAAAACCACTTGAGCCCGCTGCCCGCGCAGCTGAAGCAGGAAGCTACCCTTATTGGGTCTACTCTTTGGCTGATTTTCAGCGTGCGCATTCCTACCAGAGGACATACCGGAGCAGGACTTGTTTGGGTCGGGTGCTCATGCTGCTCGCTGTTAAGTTGGCTTAAACTTTTCCACTTGAATGGCAACGGAAGGTTTTATGCTTCGCCCGACCAGCCCAGCGGCGCATGAAAGTATGCAGCATGAAATTTGCTGCGCTGCAACAAATAAATATTTGACCTAGCCCCCTCCAGCCGCGTTCTCCCACCAACATCTCGGCGCCTTGCATTTGTATTTTATGGCGCCGTTGAATTTATATTTGCACTTAACAAGCGACAACAACAACAAAGTCAGCGAACTCTAGTGGCCAACTAGGCAATACCCTAGAGCCACGGCCTAATTGTTTGATCAAGCTTACGACAAGTGAAATAAACTCTTGTTTGTACAAAAATCTCTGATATATATATCTAGCCGAATGATGCTTCTAAACGTTACAATGAATAAGCCCAATGTAGTGGCCTTGGTTACAGGGTATAACAACTTCACAGTTTTGTGCTGAAAACTTTGTTTGGCTTATTTTTTGGTTACAAATCACATCGAAAATCGCATTAAAATTGCATGCAACCGAAAAAGTGCCACAAAATCGCGTTGTCAGAAGCCAGAAATCAGCCAGGCGCCCAGTATGTTGCAAAAGGTGTTTCAGTCCCGTTATCCACCTAGCTTTCGGATGTCAACCCCATCCAATTGAAGCCCGGCAACTATCGGCAGCTGCTGTTTATCCAACATTTTCCGGCCGGCTGGGGGGAGGTGGTCTTTTTGCAATTTCAATTGAATGTTCGTGAGACGAAATCACTTCAACGCCTTCGATTTCAATTTCCGCCGCATTTGCAATTTGAGTTTTGTTATTGCATTTGCATTCGTATTGTATTGTTGTTGTTGCTGTTGTTACTTTATTGCCATTCGATTGTTGTGCACCTTAACTTATCATCCTCGCTTCAGTTGCAATTATTCACGTGTTTCAGGTCTGGCCTACTTCCATTCCAGCACCTGGCTGACAGGTAAATATAAATAGATAACATTCTGCTCCCATCTATTTCAGTTCATGTCTATTTATATGTAAACTAAATTCTACTGCTGTGGTTACTATTTTGGGCCAATAACTACCTCTGAAATAGTAACTAAGCATTCGACTATGTTGTCGCACTTTGGTATAACGTATAACAATGCATAGCTCTGATGCAATGAGCAATGAGATTAGCATTTCCGATATGAAATTGAAATTCCATTTCAAACAATGATGGAGGAATTTAGCTTCAACTTATTTGAATCTTATTTCTATGAGAAATGCTTCTTGAATCGTGATTTGCTCAATAATACAATTTACTGTGTTTGATTCGAATAGCAGCTTGTAGTCATAGAGAGAGATGATAAATCGAAAGTAGTCTGAAATAAAATATATATGGAATGGAATAATGGACTTGTTTATATGTATGTATCTATGTATGTATGTATGTATATTCTCAATTATGTATATGTATATTCTCAAGTCTGTGTATGTATTTATGTCTTTATAGTCTCATTCATCAACGCATATTCTCATGTATATATGTATGCATGTTTGTATGTTTTTATATACACATATGTATGTATACTCATATACATCAATATATTTATATATATGTATATTCTCAAGTATGTATATATGCATGTATTGATATCTTTATAGTTTCATGCATCGATGTATATTCTCATCTGTATGTCCGTAAGTAGGCATATTTTCATTTACGTTAGCTTACATCGCATTCTCAGCTGGAAATTCAAGCTTGTTGCTAAGTTTTCCATCTGAGCAATCTACTTATCGTTTCTTCAGTCCACCCTGGAGCGTATTCTTCGTTTCTTCTTTTAAAGTTAAACGAAATAGTCGGATTTAATACGCCATATAATCCAATCGATTGCAGTTTTTTTGCTTAGCTCTTAATTCGTACGTTCAGAGTGTTTGTTGCCTTCTCTTTGTCAACTCTTTCGTTGCTCTTTGCGCCTTCAGGTGTTTCCTGCTCTACTTTATGCGCTGTCAGCCCTTTTTTCTTTTTTTTCTGCTGTCAACTTAAGAATTGGACACGCACTTGGCATATCTTAAGCGAGATGCTCGCTTTGCATTTTTTGCTGCATACCTTGAGGCCGTGCGCATTTAATGAAGGCAGCCTGCCTTGTCTCGTTTGGACAACATTATGCGGACAGAGTGTGTGGGAAGTCGCAATAGCAGTAGACGTGTCCATGTTGCTGGTGTTGAGATCAAAGGAACTCTGCTGGGTGGCCTACTCTGACGACGAGGCATCAATAACGCATTTGTATTACATATCACAATCAATAGCAGACACGTGTCTAAGCATCTAACATGAAGTCCTCCTGTGTGTGTGCGTTGAGTGAGAATCGAGCCTAAGCTTCGTTACTAAAGCAGATTGCTGTTTACCCTGATTTACATAAGAACAAACAGACACACCTGCTCTGGAGCATGGGCATGAGACAGCCGCAGCAGTGCAAACAAACTGTTTAGTCGCAGTGGTGCTGCAGCGGTGCACAGCGGTGCCAGCAAGTACCTAAGCATACGTATACACTTAAGCATGCACTTAGACTTTGTGCCTTTTACTTTAGCTCGTGTCGATGTTGACATCGATGTCTATGCATGGGCGTGAATAAGCACATTGTTCTGATGTCTGTGTGAGTGTGCGTGTGTGTGTGTGCGATAAATGCAAATTTGTTTGCCAGCTGCCGCCTTGGCACACATATACACATCAGCAGCAAAATGAGCCAACGCCCGCTGACGAGTATTTTGTTAACAGTTTTTTCATTTTCTTTATTTTCTTTTGTGTTTTGTTTTGCCACCCACCGGGCAAATAGAGCTATTTGCATGCGCACCTAAATCGATTTGTATGTGTATCAAATTGTGGGCGCTCCAGAAACAATAAACTGCCTGAGCTCAGCTGTTGCGGGCCAAATCAGCGCAAAGGCTGACACTAACTTCGCCTGAGGTAAAGTGCAGCGAACATCAAACTGCATTCAGCCACAAAGTTTCCCATGTTTGTTTTCGGCTCATTTCAAATTACAAACTTTATCTGCATAGATTCGACATATGAGTAACTACTTATGAAATTTTATACACAAAACTTCTGCTGCCTCAACATAGGTTTTTTTTATTAATTTTAATGCTAGAAATTTATGGAAACAAAACAGTTTTATATATGGAAACTCTTTATAATTGTTTTATAAAATTTCGAAAATTGAAATAATTTTTTTAAAAAGTTTTTAACTTTTTTTAATATGCATATTTTAATTTAATTTCTTTTTAATTTTTTTTTCTAAAGAGTAAAAAATTTAATTTCTATAAAATTTAAAGGAAAATAAAATAAAGAATTGAGTTCCATTTAAGACAGTTAGTTTAAGTAGTTAGTTTCAAATTGATCAAGCTATGGACTTCGGCAACGATAGGCAATGACTAGCTTATTGACCTTTGAAGCAATATATAGCCAACAGATGCTTGGCTGACAAACGTTCCTGACACTCTGGTTTGTAAGCGATGAGCTGATGTGGGTTGAGCTAGGGATATTGGGCACATGGATTAACACCTGGGAGCTAACCACAGAGTCCCATAATTAAAGACTGGCAAAACATACAAAAATTTGTCGCCAATTTAATTAGGCGCAATTTTTTGGACTGGGTGTTGTTTATGTTGTCAGCAGGTTGAGCCAGAATCAGGCGTTGCCGGAGCAGACGCTGACTGCAGGCAAACGAAGCGTAAGCCGCTTTAGGGACCAATCACACACACAAACACACGCATGTGGCCTGTCGACCCTGGCAAAGGATTTGCATTTGTTTGCTGTGCTGTGCTGTACTGTATCCATGGGCTTCACGCGCGGAACAATTACGCAGAGTGCGTGGTCAAATGGACTGAAGCGTGGATTGTGGGCGTGACTGGCCAGCAATTGCTGTGGTTCCATGGAAATCCAGCGTTATCCCTGCAATGCGTAACATAGCCCCCTTTGCACTCTATTGTTTGCGTAATTCGATAAATTGACGTTACGAAGGCCTCCACGGGCTCAAGCCCCGTTGCCCATTTTAATAATTTTTAATTAGCAGCCGCTGGCTGACAGCGCTCAGACCGCTATTCCAAAATTGGTTTTTAATTAAGTTTATTTCGCATTTTGCCCCCGCATACAGCTAAGCCTAATGAATTCAACTGATGTGCCAAACGTATTTCTCCAAACTATATTCAACGTTCAGAATATATACAGAAAAATGCCAAAATATTTTTCTATTGAAAATAGTCCAATTAATTATGAATCTATTGAATGGAGATAAATAAACATAGCTGGCAGAATGCCTCATAGACCCCATTTTCCCATCAAATATGCATCAATTTATTTATTATATATAATTTTTTCTTATTCAAATAGCTACGAGGCGTATACGTAACACCGATTCATACACATTTTTACATCCGTTTGAACAAAAGTTGTTGGGCTATAAAAATAATTGAAATAACTACGAGGCGTTTGCGCAATAAAACAAAAATAGATTTTATTTGGACTTTTAAATTAAAATTAAATAAATTGCATTTCGATTTATTTTGCAGAAATTGCAGAAATCAATCGAAAAATGTTTGTTGTTTGGATCCGTCTAGGCAAGAGGCTGACTTGGTGGCGCCGCTGGTGCTGTCCAATACCATTGGGAATAGGGCACACAGGACTTAACATCATCCAGCCAGGCCTGTGCAACTGGACAGTAGGCCGGCGAGGCAGGCACACCTAGCTCGTGGCATACCCAGTACTGGTTCTTGATGTAGAAGTGTCGATAGGTGCCCACGGCGAGCTCCTCCTCAGTTTGGCATCCCGGCTGGCCAGTAGGCTTGCCCCATGGGCTAGCAATGCAGCAGCTGGTCAGAGCCAGGAAGACAGTGAATAGATACAGAGAGTTCATGATTGAAAGAGGTTGTTTTGAAGACTGACCTATGCTAATGCCAATACGCTGCTTTTATACAGCCAAAAGCTGCGTGTTATCTTATCAAAACAACGGAACTAATCACGAAGTAAGTGTGGCGCGATGCTGTAAACAGATACGACTAAGCCATCTAAAGAGGGCTCCACGCAGGCCCTGTTGCTATTTGGCAGCCAGTTTATGGCGCTGTTTGTGTGCTCGGCGTTTGTTATTGTTTTTGCAAGGGGCACAGAGGGCGGGGCGGAGCAGGGCAACTGACGACGAGCCACCCACTTGAGGTGCTTGCATATTCATGACATAAACATGGCTGCTGTAAATTATTTCCAGAGATAGCCCTGGCAAGCCACAAACAAGCGGAGCAACAGCTAATTAATTCCAAGCGCTGCCTTTGAGGCATCTTTGGTCGCAGGCCAACGAAAAATTTCCACCTGGATATTGGGTGAAGATGCTAAAGAGCGAGAGCGGGCTCGACACTTTTCGACTAGCTTTTTTGGGCCGCCTTAAGCCATATTAGGACCTACACACTTGAGTAATTGCCCTTGCCAATGCACTGTGGCTGCAGTCGGGCCTCGGCCTTGTGGCTGGCTGGCGGGTTGGGCAAGGCATTTCGCTTGGCTTTGTTTGCTTTTGGCCATAAATTAAATCAGGTTATTAATGTCTGCCATTAAATGAAGCTACAGGCAGCCCAGCGCCAACAACAAGGACAACTACAGTCAGAGCCAGCCAGGGCATTTCAAACGCTTTGTGTTATCCTTGCCGTGCCGCCGTGCTCGGCCAGCCTTCGGAGCGGCTTTCGTTGATTTATGCTAATTTGTGTGGAATTTCGAGCGTTCTGAAGTTATTTCTAGATTTTCAAACATAAGTGCACAATTTGTATGCACTTTTGTCTTCAATGCGAAAGCACGCACTACATCCAAGCTCAAACATATATATGTTGATCCCTGAATAGGCTCAAGCATGTATTGAAGACATTCCGTTCATCAAGCGCAGCATAAATTATGTGAATTGCTTAACTTTTTCAGGCAAGGTAAGATTCTCACTAAGGTTACCCACCTGCCCCACTTACTGTATGTTTATATTAACTACTTATGGTATTATTAAAGCAGTGTCTCTCGATGTCTGTATCTCTTCATTTTACTTCATTTTTTCTGTTCTATCTACTTTTACTTCATTTCTTTTTCTACTTTATCAGTATCTCAGTCTTTCTATCACTATATATTTCTCTCAATCTATATATTTATATCTCCCAACTCTCTATATCTTTCGATCTGCCTTTCTTTCAGTCTTTATCTGTCTCTCGCATTGTATACTTTCCTGTACCTATATCTCTAATCTCCCCACTCTCTCCCTCTTTCTTACCCTCTCTCTCGCGCTCTCTCTCTTTCTCTCTTCCTCTCTCCCTCTCACTCTGTCTTCCGCTCTCCCTTTCTATCTCTTTATATTTGTCTCTTGCTCTCTCTCTCAATTTCTCTGTATTTATTTCTTTTATTTCCCCATTTCTCTTATTTCTCTTATTTCCCTCCGCATCGCAATTTCCATTTCTGTGACTTCCTCTTTATCTTTCTCTGACTCTCTCCCCTCTCTACTTTTTTTCTTCTCTCTTCCTCTCTGCTCTCTTTCTGTCCGTATTCCTGTCTCCCTTCCTCGCTGCATCTTAAGCCTTCTATCTATCATTCTTCTAGTCTCTACTTCTCCCCGTGTCTCTCTCGCCTTCTCGCTCCCTCTCTCTATTTCTTAATTTCTCCCCTCTCCTTCTCTCTCAATATCTTTCGCTTCAACTCTCTACTTCTCGCCATTTCTATCTCTCCCCTTTCCTCATTTTTCTCTCCATCTTTCTTCAAGTATCTATTTTTCAAAGTTCCTCTCTCTCTATTTTGATTCTTTATCTGCAGTACATCTGTGTTTTCTATCACTCTCTCCTTATTCTCTTGAGTTTAGAGCGCCTGTTCATTTCAGTAATGAATCATATATCTCTTTGTCGAGCAGCCGTGACTCTGCTGCATTGCATTGATTCCCCTTTTAAAAATTGAAATTCTGTCCATTCCTATGACAGTGTTGCTTACTTTGAAGTCAAAGCGAAATTATAATTGAATACAAATACGAGTAATATGTTTATCATCGCACTCAAATGATGCAATTACAATTTGCACATGACGTGTGATACGGATTGTTGCAGTCAGTTCTTTAACATGCAAATGTTAGTTATATCTTTTTTCTTTTGTACAGTTTTCCACATGCACGCATAAAAAATGGACACTCGATTAAAATAAAAATTATAGAAGGAAAAACACAGCGAGAAGCTATGGAAAAACTCTGTTTACAGCTCGTTTTATTGATGTGCTCGATTCGGAGCTGACAAAGGGCCTGACGAATAACTGTTCGAAAATATAATAAAAAAAAAAAGAAGATCGTAAAAATGCGAGCAAAAAAATGTGAATTTGTTTTTTGAGCCCAAAGCCAGTGCCAAGTGATGTGGAAATGGAAATGTAACGGGACCAGTTTGCCAAATGCAACAATATTGATTTATGACAGATGTTTTGGAGGCGTTGAACATGGAATTTAATTTCTCTGTCTAAAACTATCAACACTTGAAGGGGCGTGATCTAATTGCAGTCGTACGTCAAAAGTCTGAAATTGTTTTCTACACTGCGCGAAATACGCAGCAACTGTTGCTGCCTGAGTCATCTACCAGCAAACAAGACGACCATTAACAGATAGCTTATCACACAACGGTATCTGGCACTTGACATTGCATCTTTAAACACGATCAGATAAACACTTGTTTAGAGGCAATTGACTTTACTCAGTGATAAAACCTTAAGTAGTTCAATAAACGAAGAACACAAATTATAAATCTTCTCGAATACAACGGATATAACAGGAAATGCCTACACCATATGGCTTCCTAATCATATATCTTTAGTATCTCAACTCTCCGACGCTGACTATACTTTCTCATTATTTGTAAGATATAATATCCGTATTCACTTTATCTTACCAAAAGCCTGATATAATAATAAAAAGAGAGCTTTCTAGACTCTAGTTCACATAAAGATAAAATCAAGATTATATTGAAATCATGTTGAGATCATACTTGCCATCACACTTAATCTAAGGAAATATGTACCTACTTTATAAATTCTTAGGAACCCCATCATAACTTTCTGGCACATAAATTCATTTATATATTTACTAATTAATAGATCAAAATTCCTTGAATACTCGCTGCTTAATATATCTTGCTTCGCCTTTCGTCTATCAAATATTTTTCAACTCACCAACAGATTATGTAATTTAAGTTTGATATTCAGGTCAAATTGTCTTTAAAATTGCCTTGTTTATTCAAAATCTTTAAAAACATATTATTAGTTTTGATTGCATGGCTGCCAGCCAGTTGGACGACTTGGTGGTTCCACGCAGGGTTTCCATACCCAATCGACCCAGGATATGCAAGCATTTCTCTCCTGGCTGAAGGCCGTATTCGTCTGGCACTTGAAGAGTTGCGCTTTTCCATTCAGAGTGGGGCACAGCCAATACTTGGTGGGGTCGATGCAATGACGTTGTGGGTAACCCACCTCAGCTGTCAACTTACAGCCAGGCTCATAGGTATCAATGCATTGGCCAAGCACATGCGAGGCCAAGCAACAGCACACAGCCAACGACAATAGAAGACCTAATATAAGCAAATGGCAAACATTTAGTTAGGGTGATGGCAATGGATGAAGGGTCTTACCTGGAAGCCGCATTATGGATAATGTCACAATCTGATGGCAACTGTCGATGCTTAAGCTGTGGCACAACTGTTTTTATACTCAGCTTAAGTGCTGTATGAAAAGTGCAGTTCACTGTACTATGCTAAAGCCCTTATTTGTATACACATTTGCAGTGTGCATTCGCATATCTCTCAAGTACCAGAGCCAAGGTGACGATTTCTTCGAGTGTTTTTCTCTCTCTCTCTCTCTCTCTCTCTCTCTCTGATTGTTTTTCCCACAACAAATGACTCGATAATGTCCCCTTGTGTGAGCTGCTGTCCAGCATACAGCATGCCACGCACGCATGCTGCACTGCACTGCACTGGCTGAAAAGACAACCAAAAAAATAATATAAAACAAATCCCTTTACAGCGTTTTCCACGAGAAATCCAAACTTTTACAACAACAGGAACAACAAGAGCCAGTGGAGCGACAATTTCACAGAAAATCGTTGCCCTCAACTATTTTGTTGGACATGACAAATCCATTCCTTCGACCCCATCCATACAAGTCAATTGTTCTGCAGTCCAATTGCATCGAAATGATTTTCAAAGTCATTAAATTGCTTCGAGTTTTTTAACTTAAAGTTTTCTTTTAAAGAGTGCTTAGTTATAATAAGCATGCAATTACAAATTAGCTACAAGTACTGAGACTGACATCGCATCTGACTTGTGTTATTTCTATTTCTTTTTCTGAAACTATTATGGTTTTGTCTAGAAAATTGCCTGCCACTCACGCACTCAAATTGCCAAGCTCAAAGTGAATTTCTATGTTCGAGAACGGTCAGCGTAAGACCTTGCCACATGCCCCAATCAGTTGCACAACGTTGAGCGAACGTATGTCCGAATACGTGGAAAACTTCATTTGGTGCAAACGTAGCACAAAAACGAGCGGACAAAGCATTGCCCGGGGCCAATTTTCCAAGACATTTGAAATGCATTTCCGTTTACCCACAAAAGCCAATCACATATGTATGAAGGCTAAAATGAAATAATGAAAGCAGCTTGTACCAGTTGAATTTTAAGCAAGACACATATTCTAGTATTATTCTTTCATTTATTTGTGTTAAATTTATGGCGAATAAATACAAGCATATGCAGCTAAAGTTGTTAAGTTCACATTTGATCACGCGCCAATGTTTAAATTAACATCATTCTGGCCAGACTGCCGGCAAGAATGTAAACAAAGCGAACAGCGTTGCCATAAGTTCAGTTCCACAGGGCTGCAATAAGCTGCTGATACTGTGGGGCTAACATATGTGCGCACATTTCGAGTCACTTGAAGTTAGCTGCGCTCTAGAAAACTATGGCTATCGGCTATCGATAAATAAATAGTGGCAGCGAGAGAAAAATAAAAATTCCGCAACAACAACACACAAATTGAAGTGTAGTGAAGAATTAAATCTAATTATAACAAGCAAACGGCCAAGCATTCAGAGCACACATACACATCAACCCACATAAGCAGGGCTAGTTAATTAGTGGAACAAAACTTGACGATATTTGGACACAACAACACAATTATTGCAAACGGGCAGGGCAGTGCGGCAGTGGCAGTGGCAGCGGCAGCGGCAGTCGCAGCGACAGCGGCAGGTAGTAGCCCAAACACTTGCGTCTGAGTGGGGCGCGCGCGCGGCATGGGTTGAGGTGTATATGCATATATATGTGTGTGTGTGTGTGTTGTGTGTCAGTGTGTGCGAATGTGATGCAAAGAGCAGCAGTGACAGCGGCAGCAACAACAATAAGCGGCGCGTGTAACTAAACCGAACGCCTACGTAATGGCCAACCAACTGGATGCCAATGTCAAGGACGATCTGAAAACGCAATTTGTTACCCGAGAGGGCACATATCGCCTGCTTACCCTTTCCGAATACTCGCGACCAAATCGCGTCGGCTACAGCAACAATCAAAGTTCGCCCCAGGTGCGCGTCTCATTTGTAACGCTGCCGAATCCCAGCAGTAAAAACAATAGCGAAGCGAATGTGGCGGCAGCACCGACAACAGCAGCAACTCCAACAACATCAACTTCGAGTGATAAGCGCACGCAATTGAATTCAAATGGCGCAACATCCACAACAACACCTGCAACACCAACAACAATAACAACGGCCGCTACTACATTGAATGGAGGCGGTGCCGGCGGCGACAGCAACTACAACAACGGCGGCAGCAGCAGCACCGTCGATGCCCGCCTGGGCGGCGGCATATCCATGCACTCGATGACCAATGGCGGCGTGCTGGACCAGAACGGGTTGCCAACAAATCAAATCTATGGCGGAGATCGCATCTGTTTCAATTTTGGACGCGACCTCTATGTCTATGCATTTCGTGGCGTTAAAAAGGTGAGCAAATGTGGTTTCAGTTTTATATGAATATATAAGCACAGACGCACAAATGTACACATGGACCCCTTTTCTTTACTCTCCGTAAGCAGGTGACGTGGCCAGTCTCTCCACAAAGATCTTTCAAGCAGTCGGTTATCAAAAGTGCATGCTGATAAGCAGAGCAGTGCACACACCGGCTGCGCCCCGTAGCTTTGCTCATGTAATAATACCCTGTCGCATCGCTGCCACCCCCGCAGCAATTGGCAGTGTCCACTTAGTTAGAACTGCTGCCCCCGACGTCACTCCATTCCCCGTTCCGCCGAAACGTATCCAGTTTCCCCATGGCACAGAAAACGCTGCCCCAAACACAATCGTTTAATTTGTTCCAATTCTCGCAGCGTTTGTTATTTAGACATTATTGTTGTTGTTGATGATCAATTCGCTTGCTTAGCTTTTATTTAAATGTGTTTATTACGCGCGAAGGCAGCTTTTTCCACTGCAAATCATCCAACTTGTCAGTGTGTTTTGTATGTACTTTACCTATACCCTAACGAGAGTAGGGCATTGAGCTAAATTTAAAATCATGTATTCAGATTCAATTTTGCTTGAAAGTATTTTGAGCAATGTATAATATGAATTGTAGATATCTCAATTGGGAACTCTTAAAGTAAAGTGGGATATTGTTGTTATTAGTGTATTCAATCTTCGAATGCGTCCAATTGATTATATTTCTTATTTGCCAAGCAGCTGTTTCGTACTCTTGGTTGTTTTAACTGCAACAGCTTGCATTTGTTTGAGTTTTCGCACACGGCTTTGGTATAAACTTGTTTAGGTCTTCATTTGGTTAGTTGCGTATTTTGAATCATTCACATCAGGTGCTTAACGGAAATTGTGAACAAGCCGCTAATTTCAACAAAGCTATCACAATCGATGCTAATTGGTATACCTTATGATCGAGTAGAAAGCTGAAAGAGTTTGTTTGGCTTAACGATCTCTTTACTATTTATAATTCTTTAGAAGCATTAACTTACATTATCCCAAATGAAAACAAAGCAATCCTGTTGATTCACTATAAAGATGATGCTAGTGGGATTATTGGTAGCTGAAAAGAGAATCTAAATATATTCCTGCTATTATATAGCAATTTAAATCAAATCAAAAGATTTGAAATACAACTCGAATACCTCATATATATAATGAGAAGTAAAATACCACACATCGTTTAAAATTGATTATAAATAATATAATAATAAATAAAAAACTAAGTGGTTTTATTCCAACTATAATAAATATTTTGAAAAGAGAAAAATGACTAACAGGGTTTGTTTATTGTTATTGGTTCTGCAGGGCACCGAGATGAGCAAACCCATCGATAAGAAGTTCTACAAGGGCACAAATCCCAGCTGTCATGATTTTAATGCCAATGCAGCCACACCCACTGGTGCACCGCTGCTGGTTGGTTTCACAACGGGACAAATACAGCTGGTATCACCGCAACAAGGGCCACGCGAGCTACGCAAACTATTCAACGAAGAGGTAAGCGACTGACAATTAACAGCTAGCTATCGCCACATATTAAGTATATCTATTTCATTTGAATAGCGCCTGATTGATAAGACCAAAGTGACCTGTCTGAAGTGGCTGCCAAATTCGCCGCATCTATTTCTCGCCTCGCACGCCTCAGGACATTTGTATCTATATAACGAGGAGCTGCCCTGTGCGGCCACAGCGCCCAGCTATCAGCCATTTAAAGTGGGCGACGGATATACGATACTTACCTGCAAGTCCAAATCGACGCGTAATCCTCTGTATAAGTGGGTCTTCAGCACCGACAACTGCTGCATCAATGAGCTGTGCTTCTCGCCTTGCGGCTCGAATCTAGCACTGGTCTCACAGGACGGCTTCTTGCGTGTCTTTCACTATGATACCATGGAGCTGCTGGGTATTGCGCGCTCATATTTTGGTGGCTTCCTCTGTGTTTGCTGGTCACCCGATGGTAAATACATTGTTGTTGGCGGCGAGGATGATCTGGTAACGGTGTGGTCACTGCACGAACGACGAGTCGTGGCTCGTGGTCAGGGCCATCGTTCCTGGGTTTCTGTGGTGGCCTTTGATCCCTATACCACCTCCTACACGAACTGGGATGGAGGCGATTTCAGTGATGATGAGAATCAGCTGAATGAATACACTGCATCCCGGGAGGATCGTTTCTCGGGTGATTCCACAGCCAATGGTGGCTTCGAAGGCTTTGATAAGAACTCAACGCCGTTGCACACGAATCGAACGCGTACACACTCGGCGTCGTTTCGATCGGACGCCTCATCGGCGGCGCTGGCGCCGGACAAGCTGGCCATTAGTTATCGCCTCGGCTCGGTTAGTCAAGATACGCAAATTTGCCTGTGGGACATCACGGAGGATGTGCTGCGACACCCTTTGACGATGCGCCAGCGCGTAAATAGCACTCAACTGAACGACAGCAGCTTCCTGAATGGCGGACTCGATGCGGATGGCATCAAAGTGATACGACCCGTGGCTATGGGCCAGCCAAGCAACTTTGCCGACTCCAGCAGCTGTAGCCCCATTAGGGAAACAGCAGGCGGCGGGGCTGCCGGCGCGACAGAGCATAGTAACAGCAGTTCCAGTAAATTCTCCACGGCCAACTGCACGATATCCTCGCAATCATCCAATGCCAACACGCCGCCAGACGAAAACTGTGACACGGAGACGGCAACACCAGCTGCAGCTGCCGTCGCGAATAACACATCCTTATCCAAAGCGAACAGCAGGTCACATGGCAATAGCAACTCGATCAAGTTTCCCAACTGCATAAGTGCGACCAAGTCGGACAGCATTGACAGCAATGGACCACGCGTCAGCAACTCCAATTACTCCACATCTGGCTATAATAGCAAAAATTCCAATAGCTCGACCAAAACGAACTCTAATGCGGGCGCTAGCAGCAGCAGCAGCTTTAGCGCCTTCAATAGTCTCACCCAGCGTTTGTCAAACTTCAGTTTCTTGAGCAACTCAGAGAAACGCTCGGCTACCATTGGATACGAGGGAAGTGGATCGACGGCCACGAATCATCGGCAGCATCGAAAAGCAATGAGCATGCTAAAGAGCTATAATCAACATAATCACAGTAACCACAGTAACAACAACAGGAGCAGTAATAGCAACAGTAGCTCCACAAACATCGCCCATTCGACAGCGCTGGAATCGGGAAGTGGCGCAGCCATTGGTAGTAGTGCGACGGCGCATAGCTTTGGCTCACTGAAGTTGAGCAAATCCTCGCACAACTCTTCGTTAGCAACAGCTGGACAGTCGTCGGCCAGTGTGAGTAGCTATGATCCCATGAAGCTCATAGGTACGCCAGCCTGTCCAAGGTTCGAAGAGTGTCCGCTCCTAGAGCCGCTCATTTGCAAGAAGATTGCGCACGAGCGACTAACGGCGCTTATATTTCGAGAGGATTGCTTTTTAACGGCATGCCAGGATGGCTTTATTTATACATGGGCACGGCCAGGACACAGTACGGTAAGTAGACACAGCTTCAGCTTTAGCTTATCCTTGTAAACGGCTCTAAAACGAATCTTTTTGCTTCACAGCACGTTGCTCAACACTTGTCGCCCAGTCAAACAACGCCTGCGGGCGGCACGGTAATATAGTTCGTTAAAATGAATGCGATCAACTATCAGCGTAATCTTGTCAAGCAGCAGGAGGCGGCACAGTCGGTGATTTAGGTTAGAGCTAGCGATTGATTTCAAATTATATTTCCTGTTAGGCAGAGTTTTAAATTGTTTGTCAATATTCCTTTTTTTTAGTTACGATTGTTGCACCTTCTTTTTGTATTCCAATTTACAATGAACACACATGAAATATTTATAAAGAAAGAAGAATAAAAACCAGAATATATATACGAGATATAGTTATGTAAAACATAACTACGATTTATATGCAACAGCAGCAGGCAACAGAACAAAAGCAAAAACAAACATTTATATAAATACAATATGAACATGTATGAATAAATATATATATTTATATAAATATAAATATTGATCTATATATTTAAATTTTGATTATGATTAGTTGTAAATGTATTATTTTTAATACGTGGAATTTGTTAAAAACAAAGCAAAGCATGTTTATAACTATTTACTAAGCGCTAGCATAATACACGATACACATTAATAAAAACAAACAAAAACACACAGAAAATCAACTAAACACACTTTGCATTAGTCAACTTTAAAATGAAAAACCCCCGAAAAGGAAGCTAAGCTAGCGAATTTGTACGCAAAAGTTTTTCACTTTTGCGCTATGGTACTGAGTTGCAATTGAGGCCCCAACTATTGAACTACTTATACTATATATATATATAAAATAAAGCAGAATACTAATTAGTATGCATTATTACTAAATAAAAGCAAAACGAGTAAAACGAATACTAATACCTAATGTAGGAACTGTTATCGTTATTATGATTATTATAATTATTTTTCACGCTATTCGAGGGCAAAAGTCAGCCACACGCATAATAAAACAAATAAATAAAGAGCATAAACATTAAAAAAATATACATATAAAACAACACACCCAACAAACTAGATCTAATGCAAATCAAACAAAAACAATATTTCATACTGGCCTATATTTTATAAAAAAAGTTAATAAAAACAAAAAACGAATCGTTACACGTATGAAACTAGTAAACAAATTTCTAAAAACAGATCAAGAGAACATTACGTAGCCAATAAGTAAAGCAGTTAGAAGAAAGTGAGAACAAAGCGACGATTCGAAGAGTAAAGAGTAAAAACAAACAACAAGCAAACAACCAACCAACCAACACGTTACAGTAATAAAGACTAAAAATTTCAATAAAAACTATATACTATATATAAAAAAAGAAGAAAAAACAATTAAAAATACACAAAAGCTTGTTTCAATGACAAAAAAAATTGTTTATTTTGCAACTAGGCAATCGTATTCGATCCTCATTTCATATTTTATATTTTCTAGGTAAGATTTTCGGTTGAGTTCAGCCTTGATGTTAGGCGTGGGAAGCTTCTTATATACAGTACTTAGTCTGAAAATTCATATTCTTACGATAAAAAAAAATAGAAAAACGATATTAAGAATTTGCATTTCGATAGTTTTTATACTATTTTATAATAACAATAATCCCATTTATCAAGCACTGTTTATTTAGGTATAAAATGTGTTAATTTTGTTAATAACAAAAATATGTATATGCATCACCTATTGCAAATCTCAATCAGATGTTTCTTGAAGCTTAAGTAACGTATTTCTAACCACATATGCTACTAAGATTTTAACATTTTGGAAATGATTTTATCATTGGCGTTGTGAAAACATTTTACCACATCAATTTTGAGAGCGTGTGTACTACGCACACACACCCAATACACTCGGCACACATGTGTGTGTATGTGTGCGTCTGATTTCCGTTGGCCCAATAAATTAAATGAGTTTCAAAAATTTTACTAAAGATTTTTATAGCGCCTTAAGCGTTGCCAATGGATCCACACCGGGCAAATACAAATGCTTCGAGAGCAGAAACGCGAACAATATCTGGCCAGCAACTACAATGAATAGGAAGTATAACTTCCTCTTGCGCCCGCCGCTGTAATCGAATTGTTGCGGATTGCCATACGGATCATAGTTGATGGCACCGCTGGGCGCAGTTGGCGTGTTGTCCTGCAACAGCTTTGTTCGCAGTGTCCGCAGCTGTAGAAGATTTACAATTAATAATGACCAATATTTGCTCTGTAGTTCATATTGCTCACCAGAAAGAAGCCAAAGGCGAAGCTGGTATATGCCAGTGCTATATAGTAACCGGAGCGAAAGAAGAGCGTGCTCATCAGTAGGCAGACGACAATATTTACATATTTATAGCCCGTAAATGCCAGTAAATCCAAAGTCTTAAGGCTCGTCTTCACATTCATCACGTACAGCGAGATGGAGTAGATGACCAGTTCGAAAATGCTATAAGCCATCGCACTAGATGCCTGTATGCCTAGTTGTTCGGGCGAAAATCGATTCTGCATGCCCAACAATAGCCCGGCAACAATTACATATGTAATGTAGCCCATCGTTGGCAAATAAAGATCTGGTGCATTTATATCATAGCGTGGCTGCACAGGGTGTTCCTGGTCGTATTTTAATGACCAATCCTGTAAAGTAAGCAAATGTTTAACGTTTATAAGGGACTTAAAATAAATATTAATATATAGCTGCCTACCTTGTGTACATAAGGAAAGAAAAGCAAGCGCAGCTTGCGCCCCACATAGGCATTATCAACTGCAAAATAGTACTTCAACTTCGCGACGGGCACCCATTTCTCAAATTGATTCTCCACAAGCTGTTTGCCTTGATCGGCCAGTCGTTGGCCGTACTGCATGGCCATGTCCTGCACGATGGGCTGTTGGAACATGGTAAACTGTGGATATTGGCCTCCAGGTGCAGCACCGGGAGCAGCTCCAAGCACTTGCGTCTGGGGTCCACCCATGCCATAGGATGGCTGTCCAGATGGTACATTATTCATTGGTTGTTGTCCCGGTGGATATCCATAGCTTTGCTGTTGGGGTACTTGTTGTTGCTGTACCGGTGCCGGAGCTGTTGGTGCCGCATTGTACCCATAGCTATTGACCTGCTGTGGAGCCGGGCCGCCGTACATCGTGGGATCGAACATGGTGGGTGCTGCCGTTGGCGTCATGAAGGCAGAGCCACTGGGCAACGGAGCCGTTGGGCCCATTGCATTCAAATCGCTTACTCGTTTAATGGGACGAGCGCGTCCTCCACCTTGAGCTATTTTTGGATACACAGAAAAGCCGTTAAATGCTTTTGATTTTCCATTTCAATTGGATTGTGATAGATTCACAAGTGTTAGTGGGGGAAAAAGGTAAAATCAAGCTACACACGCAGTAAACAAGCTAAAAACGCAACATAATTATTAGTGCAGGCTGTGATAATAATTTTTGAACAACTCAACAATTAACTACGAGAGGCAACTAAAATAAGCGCCAGCTGCAGCTTTTTGTATTTGCGGCAGTCGCCACCGCCGCTGCAGCAACAACAACAGCAGCTGCATTCGTGGTATATACTTGCGTAGCTATAGCTTGTTCCTTACAGTTTTCCCACTTACGATTCCGCATACCCGCATTTGGATTATAGTTCATGTTGTGTATATTGCTTCCTGTCCTTTGCTATGCTGTTTTGTTGCTTAATTAGCTCTGTTTTTATTTGAAATATCACCAAAACTGTGGTTATTACACATCACCACTCGGATGAAATTCGATAAGTACACGACGGGTTTGTTGTTAAAACATCGATAAGTTTTTCTTCATAAATATCGAATATAATATATTGTTGTAAGTAATCAATTTATTTTGAGGTTTGTGCTTATACTTATTATCTCTATTGAATTAAATAACCTCAATTATTAACACAATTATTAACTTAACAGCATATAAATAAATATTAGTTTGTTAATAAATAATTATGAGTTATGAAATGTACAGCCTAAGCTTTTTATTATTTTTTTCAATGTTTTAAATTTGAAGTATCATACCATCATAGCTGCTCATCACTCAAAGCGTTGGCAGCTCTTAATCACGAGTTGCATGGAATTGTAATCGTATATCGTCCATCTAATCGTGGCTTTGTCGAACTTGTGCCTAGTTTTTGTTTTTATTTAATAAAGCTATAATTTTAAAGTGTTTTGTGAATAATTTATGATCACTTGGTTAGTGTAACTAAAAGAAGTTGACAAACTGTGTTTGTAAATTAATATTATCATTGAAATAGTGTCTTTAATACCCTATAAATTACTAGCTCAAAATTTAAGGTGTGGTTTGGTCTGGGATGTTTGACTAAGCGTAGCTTTAGTCGAATTGGGCGGCGGCGATGCCAACTCTATGTGGAGTGAATCCACCAAATATATTTCAGAATATAAAACAGAAACGTAAATTATTCTACTTCAGCTTAGAAATATTTAAAGATGAATTTCATTAATTGTTTTGTAATGCAACACGACAACAAGCTCAAGACCACGCCTAATGTAGAATACATACATGTACACACACACAGACACGCCTATGATCATGTACAGTGGAAACTCAATTAACGGAAGAATAACTTTAGCTCGTGAATGTTTCCAATTACAAACTTTAATGTTACCTTGTGCGTATCTTATATTTTAATATTTGTCTAAGCAGCTTTATAAAAATTAAAACCCTACTCTGCCGTTCAAAAGAGCTTTTACTGTACGTAGAGGTATGTGTCATATGTGTGTACGCTTACTAATACAACCGTTATTGGTCTGAGTAATAGGACTGATCTTTTGATTTGTTTACATACACAGTTCATAAATTAGATATTGCAAATAAACAGTGTCTATTGTTGTTTATTTATAGACTACGAATTTCCAACTCGAAAATGTGCCTTTAGTCTTCTACAAAAAACCAACTGAATAAGTTCTCACATCGAACTGTAACTAAAAGTAAACCAAGTCACTATGTCAGCAAGGAGCCGGCTGTTAGTCTGCGGGCTGGTGCAATTGTTGTTGCTAGCAACGAGCAGGGCACAACTACCCAGCGACGTGCAACCGCAACAACAGCAGCAGCCGGGCCTGCCACTACCGCAAATACAAGGGCAACAACCGCAGCCATATCAGCCCACTTATAACAAGGACTATTCGCCACGCTATAATCCTTTGTACACGGGCCAGCAACAAAATCCGGACAGCACACAGTATGATAATCCATTGCTGGACTTTGGCAATCAGCCAACCAATCCGAATTTTGGTGGCTCTGGTCTGAATCCAAATAGCTACAATGGTTACAACAACTATGACAGCAATCGACCGATGTTGGGCGTTGGTGGCGGCAACATTGTGGGGCCGGGCAGCATTGGAAATACAGGCCCACAATACGACCCCTTCAATCGCAACAGCGTGACATCCCCTACCAATTCGGGCTTAGGCTATAGGGATATGTTCACCGATGAGGATAACTTTTGTCCCGAGCATTGGATATCGTTCCGACAGACATGCTATCGCTTTATACGCTCACCCAAGCGTAACTGGGCGGAAGCTAAGAAGATTTGCAAGGCTTACACAGCGGACTTACTGAATGTGGACAATGTGGAGAAACATGCGTTTATTTTAAAGCAACTCATTATACAAAATCAACGGCAGAATCGTTTCTTTATCTCAGCCCGTCAAACGGGGCCACAGAACTGGGTGAATGATGACAATACGCAATTGGTACAGATTGAGGATTCCTTTGCTTTCGATGAACAGCAGGCACTTGAAAACGAAGATCTGAATGACAATCGTTTCCTCGTGCAAAATGATCCCAACAATCGCAATTTTAACAATCCCAATCAGTACTACAATGCGCTGACGGGACAACCGAATGTGAATCAACGCAACCAAAACAATTTGCGTGGATTCTTTGGTAAGACTAAATGTCAATAATAAAAAATGAAATATATAATATCAATTATGTTTTACAGGTCCAAATCAGCCTTATGGAGACACTGGCTATGTGCGAGATCGTGTGGTCTATGCCTATTCGAAGAAACGCGATCGATGGATGTTTATGCCTGCCTACGAAATTGAATTAAATCTATTTATTTGCGAGTCCAAAGCACTGTACAGCCCAGACAATGTCAATATTAAACTAGATGATAAGCGCCCCTATACGTATGGCTTGGATATACGTGATCTGGAGCGCATTCCACGTGGACCGTACTTTGTAAAGCAACCAAATGACACAACATTTGATGTGAACAAGAATCGTTTGATTAACGATGTTTCGCTGAGCTGCTTGGCTGGAGGTTATCCGACACCCTCGTATGAGTGGTATCGTGAGGTCTATGTAAATGATACACTAGAATACAAACGAATTGATCCGTTGGTGGAGGATCGCTACACTATATCAGGAGGCAATCTAATTATATATGATCCCAAGCAAGCGCTAGATCAGGGCGCCTATCACTGCGTTGCGCAAAATAAATTTGGCAGCGTTCGGTCAGAGAGTGCACATCTTAATTTTGGTTTCATCATGGAGTTCAATTTGAAGCGATCTGCTGAGACGAGCGAGATGAACTGGGGCAAGTCCATATTCTGTGATCCGCCACAACATTATCCAGCCATTCGATACTATTGGGCACGTGACTATTTCCCCAATTTTGTGGAGGAGGATCAGCGCGTATTTGTCTCACACGATGGTGCGCTGTACTTCTCGTTTATTGAGACCGTGGATCGGGCCAATTATTCATGTACTGTGCAAACACTTGTCTCGGATACAGGTCGTAATGGCCCCTTCTTTCCGCTGCGTGTAACGCCCAATAGCAACTATCAGACACTGATCTTTGCCAATACGTTTCCAAAAGTCTTTCCGGAGGCTCCCGTTGCTGGCGAAGAGATTCGTTTAGAATGCATGGCATTTGGTTATCCTATACCTTCGTACAACTGGACGCGCCAAGGACAGCCACTGCAGCGCAATGCCTTCACGACGAGCTATGGTCGCGTTCTGATCATTAGGAATGCGACTACCAATGACAATGGACAGTACACATGCAGTATTACCAATCCGCGCAAGACGCTGGAGAAGTCCATCTATATCAACATACAAATGCGCCCAGAGTTCACTATACCGCTTAAGGATATGATCAAGGACTACAACAGTGATGTTACGTTTATTTGTGAAGCGTTCGCCATACCCGATGCCAACTATACTTGGTACAAGAATGCCGAACGTCTCGATCCTTTGACCATCAATCGCGATCGGTATGTAATACAAGATAATGTGCTAACCATAAAATTCCTGGAGAAGGACAAGGATGAGGGCATGTATCAGTGCGGTGCACAGAATCAACTGAAGACATCCTTCAGTTCGGCTCAGTTGCGTGTGCTGTCCATGAAGCCATCATTCAAGAAGCATCCACTCGAATCTGAGATCTATGCTGTTTATAATGGGAATACAACTATTGTTTGTGATCCGGAGGCTGCACCACGTCCGAAATTCCAGTGGAAAAAAGATGGACAATTGCTTGGCTCAGGTGGACATCGTCGTATACTGCCCAGCGGCACGCTCATCATATCGCCCACGTCTCGTGATGATGAGGGAATGTACACGTGCATAGCTTCCAATCAGGCAGGCTCGGATGAGTCGCATGCTCGAGTTATTGTGCTGCGTAAGTTAAACTTTCTTAACAGTTATTACTTAACTCTATTAATTATTTTACTTAACAGAGGAAATACGATTTGTACAGACGCCCCCACAACGCATTGTTTCTCGTGAACATGATCTTATCTATCTGCACTGTGAAGCTGCATTCGACGAGCTGCTGGACATTGCCTACGTTTGGAAACGTAATGGCGAGATACTTCGGAATAATCACGATGGCACTCAGCGCTTTGTAAGCTAGAAGTTTTCCTAATTTAGAAACATCATTAACTGTACCTGAAAAACCTTCCAGATCGTCGACTGGAACAGTTTGACCGTGCATAATACAACGATGCGTGATTCAGGCGATTACGAGTGTGTTGTCCAATCAGCAGTTAATGAGATTAGTACCAAGACAAGTGTCATTATTGAAGGAGCCCCTGGTGCTCCAGGAGGCGTGCAGGTAATTGAAATTGGCAAGACCAAGGCTATCATTGAATGGGTGGATGGTGTCAACAATGGCCGCCCCATACGATACTACAACATACTTGGGCGCACCAACTGGAATCGCACCTGGGTCAATGTTTCCATGCACGTACAGGCGCGTGAGGTGGATCGATATACGTCTCGTCAGCAGGCTGAGGTTACAAATTTGACACCCTGGTCCTCTTACGAATTTAGCGTGACAGCTGTTAATGATTTGGGCATTGGCACACCCTCAGCCCCATCGCCAATCTACAGCACTTACGATGATGTACCATATATAGCGCCACGGAAGGTGGGCGGTGGCGGTGGTAAGATTGGCGATCTGACCATTACCTGGCAGCCATTGTTGCCACAGGAGCAGCACAGTCATGGCATACATTACAAGGTGTTCTGGAAGCTAAAGGGTGCTTTAGAATGGGCCTCAGATATTAAAAAGAATCAAGAGAATGTGGGTGTGGCCGTAGTCAACATTCCACTAAACAACTACTACACGGAATACGAAGTAAAGGTACAGGCAATAAACAGCATGGGTAAGGGACCCGAGAGCGAAACGGTTGTCATACATTCTGCCGAGGATATGCCACAAGTGGCGCCCCAAAAACCATTTGCGTTGGCCTACAATTCCACTTGCTTCAACGTATCCTGGAGTCCCATTGACATGTCTCGTGAGAACATACGGGGCAGGCTTATTGGACATAGGGTAAGTTTTAGCTTACAAATAATGCTGCTGCGATATGTTTATTCTTTGCAATTCCAAATTCAGCTGAAGTATTGGAAGACCGAACATCAAGAAGAGGATGCCGTCTACTACTTATCGCGTACTACTCGGCCATGGGCACTAATTGTGGGTCTGCAGCCGGACACGTATTACTTCGTTAAGGTTATGGCATACAATGCAGCTGGCGAAGGTCCTGAAAGCGAACGTTTTGAAGGTACCGTCAATTTATCTAATATAAAGATATTGGAATCTGTACCATATATTTTTTATTTATACTAGAACGCACATATCGCAAGGCGCCACAGAAGCCGCCGTCTTCAGTGCATGTCTATGGCATAAATCCGTCTACGGTGCGCGTTGTTTGGCGTTATGTTTCGCCGGCGCAAGATGAAGAGCCGCTGGCTGGCTATAAGGTATGAAATCCTATAAATGTATTAACCGCAAACAATATCAAATATTTTTATTTCGGCAGGTTCGCATCTGGGAGACTGATCAGAATATGATCACTGCCAACAATACTATTGTGCCTATAGGACACAAACTGGAGTCCTTTATTAACACACTGACGCCGGGTAAGAGCTACAACATGCGAGTGCTAGCCTTCAGCAATGGCGGCGATGGACGCATGTCCAGTCCCACGCTGCGTTTCCAAATGGGAAAGACGACACGCAATGCAGCGAATACTAGACATGGTCACAACATCAACACAGCTCTGATCATGAGTGTGTTATTGTTTATCACCACATTTTTCTACACCAACGTCAACAATTAGTAATTAGGCAACAAGAGTAATACCGTCCGATGTTTTTGACAAGGCGCACAGCTTTAGAAAAATACACAGAAACTCAAGAGTCTCGTTTAGATTTAAATCAGCAAACATTCCGTCTTTACTAGCGAAACCTCAGCGAATTGAACATATGCGAAACAAATAAGAAAGTGACCTTAATTATATACAAAATAAGTAGAGCATATACATTTAAAGCAAACACACAAATCTTTTATATATATATTATTATATACATGTATGTGCATATACATATATTGTTTGGAAACAACCAACGAAACGAATAATTAGCATAAGCACAAAGCCGTCTATATCCATTTTACGACCTTATCAGTTTGTCTTCGTCCTTGTTTATATGTATTTTAAAACGTACAATTGTACAATGTATTAAATGTAATTGTATCCATTATACAAATCTATTTTCAGCTATTTAAAAATAAAAATACAAATTTATTATAGTAACCGTTATGTTTCAATACAACCCACTCAGTGCGGCGCCATGCAGTGAAGTTACTGTTATCGATTAATTATCGGCAAATCAACTCTGAAAGCTTAAACAGCTGTTGGTGTCGGCTATTGCATATTTATATATATGTATGTGTGTGCGGAGAAACCAATGATGGCTCATAGGAAAATTCAGTGAAAACGCAAGAGCTGCAAACGCAATTTAATATAAAATGTTTTTATAACACCACACGAGACAATCAAACGATAGGCGCATCCATATCCAAGACGCACAGCAGCGATAAAGCTAAAGGATTTGAGGAAAGCAAAACAAAATGGAAATGGCAAAAACAAAAGCAAACGGCTGGGCGACTGTTTGCACCAGCACAAGTTCCGTTCCCATATATTCAAAATATACGCGCTACACGGAATTACGGCGCGTCGATGATAACGACATCTACAAATTGGCAACAATACTGGACGTTAATAGCTGCTGGCGCAAGCTAATGTCCATTATACCAAAGCGCCTGGATGCGCAGGCCTGCAGTGCACCAGGAGCACTCAAGTATCAGGAAATCGCAGCCAAGGTTGGACTTAAATATACCGCGCAACAAATAAGTCTGATTGATGGGACCGCTGAGCGCTTAACGCCTGGCCAAAGCATATCACAGGTAATGATTGATGAGTGGAAAACTTCTGGCAAGCTAAACGAACGCCCCACGGTGGGTGTGCTGCTGCAGTTGCTTGTACAGGCCGAGATCTACAGTGCTGCCGATTTTGTGGCCTTGCATTTCCTGAATGGTTCGTAGAGAGATAGTGAGAATAATATTATAAATTGTTAAAACTATTCGTTTTTTCTGTGCTTCAGAGCCTAAACCTGATCGCCCCACCGATGGACCTGCAGCGCATATTAGTTTGGATCTGTGCAGCGAGGATCTGAGCGAAGACATGGAGGTGGACGACAGTGCCAGTTACCAACCTAATACATCCACACTGAATGCAGCTGCAGCACAGGCGCGTGGCACTGGCATGAATTTAGATTATTTCGACAAGCATATGGTTAGACGCGACAAGAGTGTACCCCAACAAATAGAAAATGGCACATCCATATCCACCTCCAGCCCAGTGCCCGTAGCACCACCACGATCTGCACGCTTATCCCGTCATCTAAAAACCACGACAAGCAATGGGGCAACCATAACAACAACTGCTGTCTCATCCTCATCTCAGTTAAACGCAGTTAACATGCCTAATCTATCAATTCTAAATGCAAGTAGTGAAAAGCTGGCGTCAGCAAACGTTCAAACCCAGCCACCACAAAATATACCTCACCTATCTATACTCAACGGCTGCTCCGAGGCAGTAACAATGTCAACGACATCTACGACGCCGCTGGATGCTGGCAATTCGGACACCGCCAGCAATGGTAGCTCTAGTACAAGCACATCAACAGCAACCGTACCCAACGTGCCTTTGATAACGCTTTTAATTGAAAATTCCAGTTGCGAGATAAGCGGCACATCTGATGCGATGACAACAGCAACATCAAAATCGACAACAACGAAAACAGTTCCAGATATGAGCTACAATAATTTGCCAGCGATAAGCGCATTAAATTTGAATACTGTGCAACCAGATGGAAATGGAGCCAAGGCTCGCAACGATAATGGGGATAACAATAGCAGCGGCACAAACAGCCTTAGTAATGACGAAGACGACGAAGAAGACGAGGAAGATGACGATGACGATGATGATGCGGATGTGGATGACGAAGAGGCAGATGTGTCGTTACCAAATCTGAGCAATTCTGATCATCAAAACTCCAATAATGACTCAAGTCTAACAACAGTTACAGGCACCAGCGGAGACAATAGTTTTGAGATGACCAACGATTCAAGTTCGGCATCCAATGATGACTATACCAACAACATTCCGAATCTGAGTGAACTTCAGCAGTAAAGTAACCGTCCATTATTACGCACTAGTTTACTTTCTGCATGCCACGCACACACATTCCATAAAGCACAAAAAATGAGTAGTTTTAAATGTATGTGGTTTGTCATACATATTTTATTGTTTATGTATCTAGAGTTATGTATATAATGTCCACATAAGATATAGTCTAACGAAAGTTGTTAACTGCCTAATTTAACATATCTCCCTTATTCAAACATAGCTTCCATGACACCCAATGAAAATGTATTTGAATTTGATTTCATCATCAAACAATAGCACAAATCAAAAGCAAGTTTTGTATTAAAAATCTTTTTACAAAAATATATATATTTAATATACAAAAAAAGCAACATGGTTGTAATGATATATGCCATTAATATCGTAATAAATTATGGTATCTATTTAATTAAACTGCCTGCTTTTAAAGCATTAAGGATGCCAGAAATGCAGAGGAAAATAAGTAGAATTAGGAAAGCGAAAAGGATTTACAAAATACACCATTCGAATATACCTTCGCGGTCAAACAAATCGAACTATCGAGTTCGAATGCAACTCTGCGCATACGACACATCAACAATAATTGCGCATCTCTAATTTAGACCCTGGACTTGTATATTTTATTACTGGTTTTTGTTGAATTTTTCAAAATTTTTCGCAACATGGATGAGTCGGAACTGCTCTTTAATTTGTTCTACTTTCTGGTGTGCATGTGCGTCATCTATCCGCCCGAGGAGTTTCAACGTTTGGGCTTTACGATTGAACAGGTGTTCTCTTCCTTCCTGGGAGAGGAATATCGTGATTTTGTTGGCTACCATCTGCGTCGCACATCTCTGAATCTCTTTGTCCACAGTTGCCTCCCTGTCACATATTTCCTAATACACAGACTGAAGTTCTCAGTTTTCGCCACACAACAACCGCTTGAAGATAATGAGCTTGACCCGGATTTTCCTATGCCACAGGAGGCTGTGGCCTTCAAAACACTCACCTGGAAGATGGCGCAACGTTTCAGTGTACTGGCTATGTTAGCTGTGCCGGCACTGATATTTAAGTGGCATCAGCAAAACTGGCGCCGGCATCCAATAAACAAAACCCTGGCAAAATACTCCAATACCCCGGGGAGCTACAGCGCTGTTGCAAACGACATTAGTACCGAGTTTCGCCGTCAGGATATTTACAAAAAGAAACTCAACTCCATTAGCATGGTGATTGCCACGGAAAACTGGATTATCAAAACAACCATGTACAATGTTAACTTTGCGCATCAAGCCAACACTTCCCTCAGCGTTGCCAAGGCAAGTACCTCTGAACCTCAGGTTTTGGCATGTTGCAGATAATGAAAAATATCAATCTATCGAATTTTTAGGCGGAGACATATAACATATCTCACCACGATCAGAACGACACCTTGCAAATGATAAGCATTGTTGTTCAGCCGATGCGCCAAGGTGTTTCTGATTTTAACATTCGCATAAATGCCTTAGAATTTCGTAGCTTGGAGGATCGTCTGCGGCGTCCAATTACCATACCATCCAACATACAATTTCATCGTAGCGTCATCGATCGATTTGTGGATGTATTCAAAACGCAGGTGGCCCTCAATCCAATCTTTAGCTCGGAGCCCATTACAGACAAATGTTTTGCCTGCATGCTGGCGGAGCCCAATATCAAGATTAATAAACAGTGCGCCGATTTGAACCGGGCTGGCGCTCCTCTAACAGATGAGGCACGCTGCTCCAATTGCTATTGTCGTCCCATGTGGTGTGTGGAGTGTTTGGCGCGCTGGTTTGCCGCCCGCCAAAGCGATATCGATCGCGAAGTATGGCTAGAACAAAAGTGTACCTGTCCCATGTGTAGGGCAAAGTTTTGTGTACTAGATGTTAGCTATATTCGACCGACAGCCGCCTCAAATGCAGACGAAGATGCCTCATGATTTCGTTTATATAAGTAAACGCTTAAAAAAACCTTTTGCTTTATCGATACGTTTTAAGCATTGAATTTTTATTAAAGTTAAGACAAATATACATTTGTATATATAAAATATTTTAATATGTATAGTTAAAGATATGCATGTACGATTTAGTGCAGTTATCACGATTTAATACTTGTATAATCTAAGCAAGAAAGAGATAATAATGTTCATACAATTACTCTATATATGTATGTATATATATATACATATATATATATATATATATATATATATATATATATATATATATATATATATATATATATATATATATATATTTAAGTACAATGATCTATATATATATATATATTTAGAGAGTGCCTAAGCTAGCTCCTAATCTGTTCTAGATTCTACTAAATCTAAATAGCTGAAAATTCTAAACAAAAGCACACAAGAAAGCTTTGTCAAGCAGCCTGCTTAGTCTTCCTTTGTGTTGTTTTTCTTTAAGTTTTCTTTTCTCATTGTGAATTTTGCACATTTTATATATTTCACATGTTGTGCAATAAACTCTTCGGTTGATCCAATAAAGCGTAATACAAATATATAGTGCATATAGCTGTATATACATATTTATATGTATATGTATATAGTATATGCATATGTATGCCAAAATGTATATAGCTCTGCCATTATCTATAAATTGGTTTCGTAAAAACTTTTATAGCTCTCTGCTTTGTCACGTTGACTTCGCCCCGACGGCGCCGCTGCACTATTGCCGCCCGTTGTTGTATTTGTTGTATTTGTCGTATAGGAGGACGATTTTGACATGGCGCTAGTTGTATTGCGCGCTGAGATCTGCAATAAATAGAGCGAAATCAAAAATTTAATATATATGCAGTCAATAACTCTTGAAATTCATTATCACCAACAAATAGAAAGAATATTTAGATTAAGTTTTTATTTGGGTTTCCAGCAATCAGAGACTCTAACTTTTGAAAAAGTAATCAAAAGACATGTGCAAAGTCATATTTTTGATTTAGCACCTGATTTTAATCAAGCACATGCTATCGACATGCACCAAATACACACATATGTATATACATAAATATAATTCTCGGCTGGAGCTTTTTTTGACAGCTGGCGGCAACAGAACAGCCAAGCGTGCCCAGCCACTTACCTCTATGATATATATATATATATATAAATATATATGTATGTATATAAATATAAATATGTGTATGTATGTTTTGGTGTTTTTCCCTATATAGGAACGAAACCGAAAAAAGGTTTGCCTTTGTTTTTGCAATCGCTATTGTTGGTTGATAAGATTTTTGCGCTGTTAAAGCGCAATAAAGGAAATTTTGCAATATCTGATATAGGTACAAACAATATTGTTTGAGTGCTTTCATTGGTAAAACCTTGGCCATATTTCATGGTTTACTATCATTGTTGGTTGGCACACACACACACAAATATATACTAGATATATAAGCCAGGTGCCTTTTATTTTTAGCACGTTATAAACCAAGAGGGCGTCACGAGATCTTTATATCGACTAGTTTTTAGGCTACAGAAACTGCTAAAAACTGATTTAAGTGTAAATAAAATCAAAGATAAACTAAAATACTAGGTGCAAGCTTAAGAAATTTTTAAATATTACTCATACGCCTTGTTGCTCTGTTGACTCTAGGTTAATGTTTGAACTGAAACAGCTCACCAGACGTTAAGAAATAATCTAGTTGATTATTTGTTAAGATAGAGAAATGATTGAAGACGGCTTACGTTGTATACGAAATCTTAGAGAAACACGGAAATTCCAGTTCTGTTTTATTGTTTGTTAAATAAAAACTTAAAACCTTAATGTTAATTTCATCTTGCTTTAAAAGTTTAAAAACTATTGGAATTTAATCAAGTTAGTATACAAAATTGTTAGTTAGTAATAATTTTCAAATAATCATTGAAACTGGAGTCGCCTTTTTAAATATTACTCATGCGCCATGTTGTCTATACCAAAGAAGAAGACTACGCATTTATCATTTATATTTCCGTTCGCTATTCTGTCACAGTTATTATTGAAAACTTATCTAGTTAGCTTATAAAATTTAAGTTAAACATGGAAACTCAATAGCTTTTTTTAAGCAAACAGAGCTCATAGCTCGACACTTTGTCAAGCGCTTAAGCATGTTCAATCTGGAATAGCTTAACCAGGTGTAATAAAGCACCTAGCGTTAATTGTTATTGTTTATTTTCTTTATTTTTTGCCTTTCATAAAATTAACCAAGTTCAATGCACAGACGACAATGACGCAGCAAGCACGTTTGCTGCTGACAATCAATCGATCGACCGATCGTTCGCCCGTTGCATTTGTTGCGTAAGTAAGCCGTAGGAAACAAGCAGGTGGAACACCCTCACGCCGAGGCCTTACCCCTCCTCAAACACTGACCGACCGCCTGGCCGGTTCACTTGCCAAATTTAACAAGAGGCGCGTGCCGATGACAAAAACAAATTTTGTTTTCATTTGTGGCAGCCCTGCAATGTATCTGGTTTCGCATACATACATCTGCTTTTAAATATATCTTCCTTTTTTTGCAATGAACTTTGAATATGTATTATATGACATTTTGTTGAATTTGCTCGCCTTACTCATCTTACAGTGGCGCCAAAAGAAATAAAGTTTCCAGAAAGGTGTGTTTGTCGGTCGCTACATATATATACATGTATATATATGGATCTTACTTTATTTTGCGTTGCACTCGACTGAGTTCTGTTGCTGTTTTTTTTTTTTTGTTTGTTTACTTTGTTTAACTTTTTAATTCCCTTTTTATCACTTGTAAGAAAGTAATGTATTTTTAACTGCGTTTCATATACATTTTTTTTATTAATTTACATTTTATACTGCCCTTTTATGGGGGCAAATATCAAAGAAAGTTTCCTAGACTCTTAACAAGATCTGCGACGCAGATATATTTTATTTGAAATGAAGAATTGCAGTCAAGGCCAAGAAATTGATAGCAGAAAAAGTACCGTCAATAATCTTATCTGTTTTATAGGAAACCCAATTGAGACAAGAGCATTTTGCACTAGTTATGACATATCTAAAAGTGACATCAACTTTTGGTATATAATTATAAAGACTAAAAGCGCCCTCAGTTTGCTTTTGATTTATACTTTCAAGCTTGACAGCCTTTTTTACCTTGTACTGATAATATACGAGTTTACAGTTTTTTTGCCATTTTTTAACTTAGCACGCCTTCTTCTAATTGTTTTAATTACGTATGAGTAATGCTAAGAATTAAAAATATTTAAAAACATTTTTATATATCACAATTGTAGCCATACTTTTGGCATCCAGAATGCACTCATTTTTATATTGCTCGAGCAGTGGCTAAGATTTGTCATCAACAAAGATTCCATTTGGCTTTCATTCTCCTTGAATTGTATATGAGATATATAAATATATCAAATATATATACATGATAAACGCATACACATATTTATATAGGATAAATATATAAAATACATTCATTCATATTTATATATAGGATAGTGTAGTATAAAGTGTTGACAAATAGCGTCATAGAGCTGATTGCATACAGAGTCTTATCATAATAAACCAACTTCCGTTTTTTATTAATGAGCATTTCCGTTTTTCTGTTGTTTTTCTTGTTGTTGTTGCGTCGATTCACATGGAAAACACAGCAAAAACTTGTAAACTGATATTTGGACTTCAAAGCCAAAAAAAAAACCTAAAAACCCGTTACTAGCTTTATATATACACATACGCACATACAGACATGCATATATGTATGTGATATATAAATCACGTTAGCACTTATCATATCAATATAATAAATATATCGTTATATTTTATTTTCGGAGTGTCTGCTGATAAGGGGAAAAATCACAAATGAAATTGAAAATGCGAATGAAAATGAAAATTGGGTTACTGGGAGCTGCTCTCACTGGACTCACCTTATCATTTTCCTTGCCATCGAACAGCTTGCCATCGACCACATCGCGTTTCTTGTTCTTCGATCTGAAGCGGCCCGAACGAGAGATTGTGAAATTGCGCCATTGATGTGAATATTGATCGCCGCAGCGTTTCTCCTCCTCGTTCAAAATGCTATCCAGATAGTGTATGGTCGGCTCGTGTGCGGCAGTCATTGTGTTGCTCATCTTTAAAAATGATCTGGCGATCTAAAGATCGTGGGATCTGCGTAGCTAAGGATCTGCTATATTATGACAGTGTTTAGCGTGTGTGGCCCGTTGCAGTTGCGACAACAACTCGATTCGGTTTCAATTCATTTCGTTTACTTTATTTGATGTCGAGGAACTACCGAACAATGCCGACAACTCGTATATACTACGTGCTATATAGAATGTATATTATCGTATTTTCTACATATGTTTCTCCTTATTTTTAATATTATTGTATTCTTTGTTGGCCTTTTTTTTTTGTTATCAAAGCGACGCGTCGCTGGCGATGCGTATTGGTAGCCGGTGCCCGTCTGACTGCGGAGTTGCCGACACAGCGCTGTTATTAACCGTAGTCGCTGTCGTCGCACACAAATGACAACGGCGACAACAACAACAACAGCTCAGCTGCAGCAACAACAATATGGAGTCGACAAGCAACACGACTCCCAAGCTTCAGCGATTCGTTACGTTATGTGTACGCCCGCCTTTGGCCCCCAACGGACGTTCGTTCAGTCACAAAGAACAAACGCAACCCGTTGGAGTTGTAGTTGTTGCCGGTGCTGTTGCTGTGCTTGTCGTTGTTGTTGTTGGTGTGACGGCAGCGAAAGAAAGCAGCAAGAAATCTTTCAACTGCTGTGAACGCAAGACCGTGTGATTGCTCCTGAAAAGCCAAACAGGTGGGCTACACACACACACACATACAACACATACAAAACCACACAAACACTTCGGCAGAGGCATATATAAATCATCCGTGTCTGTGTGTGCGAAGTTTACCTGTGTATTGGCTGTGCTTCACTTCATGTTAAACAGGTGCAGCTAGGCAGACTAAAGTAAGGCGCTACAGGCATCCTAACAGACCTCTAGCTGTTGTGTTATATATATCCATACTTGCATTGCTTATATATTTAGAACAATTGCTATATTAAGATTTATCAACCACCGTCGAAAGTAGCGCATTGCATTAGTCGGTACGGCCTGTTAGAAGCTCTGTGTGTTTGCTATACATACATTTGTATTTTCTATATGTATACACCGATATCATCTAGAAGCGGCAGCAGCAACAGCTCGTGTGTTGTCGATGATAAGCGCAAATAGACAAAACAAACACTCGAGTCGCTAACAATTATAAATGATTAGATCGCTTTTTGGAGCATTCACTTTGTCCGGGTCTTTAACTGTAACTTTTGTGTGTACATATATGATAGATGCGATGATGTTGCGGCTTCTCTTGTGCAGCACCTTAAAGCCATGCTTAACAGCTCGCTACCCACGTATATATATATATATATATATATATATATATATATATGTATATATAAACAATTGTTACAGAGCTGGTTCATTATCTTGATGACTCAGGGCGATTGGCTTACAGGCGAACTGCTTTAAAATAAAGAAATTATTCACACTTTCTTGCTGCTATGGCTGCAGTGCGAAGCTTATCTAATCTGGTCAAGTTGAAAGAGCTTATACATATTTCCCAGTTTGGAGCTTAGATTTGAAGTACAGGTATTGGTATCGTTATAAACCCACCCACAGCCAAGGGCTTCGGTTTTTATTTACAGAGGCAATTTTGCAGTATTTCTTGCTTACAAAATGTTAACATTAATTCAATTGTGTGGAAGCATAGATGCGTAATATAGGTGTGTTATTTAAATATATATATCTATATATATTTATATATATAAATATAGTTAGTTATATATGTATTTAAAAGCTAAACGGACTGTGCGAATTTAATTTCTTTTGGGTTTTATTGTTAACATAAAATTTGACCAACCAATATTCGGCTGAGTTATTCGTACATTCCTGAAGTGGTTAATCTCGCAAGATTTAACAATGAATTTGGCTCTCATACACGCATGTGCACACCTCCCGTTTTTTTTAACATAGTTTTTTTTCCTGTACCTTGAGTGTTCAAGTTGTTAACAAAAAGTTAAATCAAAAGTGAAGTAGTTGAACAATAAGTATCCAATATATTCTCAATTGATTAATCAATTGGGAGTCCATTCGCGTTTAAACAACGCTGTCACCGCTGTTGGGTTCATGCTCTCGTTCCCGAGCAGCACGATCCCGATTAGCTGCCGCAGCAGCCACTAGGCGGGGTATCGCCACTGCTGGCTGCTGCGGCTGCTGTTGTTGCTGCTGCTGTAGGATATGACGAGCACCACCGATTCCAGCAGCTCCGGCATTATTGTTGTTGCGATGCATAAAGTTTCGTATATTCTCCTCCGTATAGTCGACAATGCGGCGTTTCTTGCGACGCGCGTATTGCTTCTGTTTTAAATAGATTTTCAGCATGCCCTTCACTGTGATAAAGGTTAGACCCCCAAGTAGCGTACGATGTAACGTGTTCTCAACTGAATCGAATAATATGCGACCCACAATGCATGATATTGTAGGCAGCAGCAAAGCTCCGCAAAATATGCGCGTTGCAGAAACTGGATCAGAAAGTGCGGGTGTAGCCGGATTAGTAGAAGTGGGCAACTCCTCCTCCTGCTGATTGCTACAACAAAAAAAGCACGTTAATTAGGGAAACTGTAGTAAACTAAAGCACTTACAGGTTCGGATATATGAAATTCACAAATGGAAACTTGCGCATGACGGTGCCGCGATTACGTATCAAACGTAACAGGGCATCTTCCCAGCGGATTAGCCGACCCAGTACCAGACCAACAGGTATTGCGGGCAGACCAATGAGTAGTATGAGCGGATCGCCTGCTTCCATTATAGACATGCCATGCTCGTGACCAACGATCTGCGTGCATCAATATTTTAGTGATAATAATAGTTATTTTATTGATGGACTCACCTGGAGGAAAGTTACAGCGCCATAAGTCACGGCTGTCCAATATAGAGAGCCGACAAAGAAACCAGCTGCCAGAAACGGACTAAGACGTTTGACCAGAGTGTCCATGGCTTCCAAGGCACCACCTAATTTGCCCATTTGTGGAAAAACAATGATGTACTCGGTTTGGCATTGCGGGCAGGATACAGAGCGAAGAGCACTGCCCTTCTGTGTCTTTTCATCGATCCAACGATACAGGCAGCTCTGGTGTACCCATTTTGTTGTGCCGCGACACTGGCAAGGCTGTACCCAGGCCGCTAATCGATTATCCTCATCTGTCGCAAAGCAAATCCAACAACACCGTTCCGTATCAACGTTTAAGACATCTCGTGCTGTTGCTTCTGCTGATGCAGCCGCCGCCGTATGTCTTTCAGTATCATTCATTTCGGTAATGGTTGACTTAGATGTGCTCGCCACTGGTTCCATTGTGACTGTTGTGTGATCGGCCGTTGAAAGTTCATTGCCGGTCTCCGTTTCGGTAGCAGCGTCGGCAGTGGGCGCTGCTGCTTTATCATCCATATCGCTGAAATTTTTTCGTCATTTATAGGAACTTGTATGTGTTTATTTTTGGCATTTGGCAGGTAGATGCGATAAAACTCACTTAGAAATTCGAAAACTCAGTCGTTCAGAGTCTGCTTTCTTTATGAACCAAGTATAAAACTTAATTTTCAACTTTTTTCATTAAACTCTTTCTGAAACTAAAATATATGTGAACTAGAGATGAAACCGTGCTAATATTTGTTTACTTTATTCACACTCACGTGTACTAAAAATCGCTTGTTTGTTTTAATATCTGAACCATGATCAATTCTTACATATTTTGTATGACATTTTTAAAAAACGCAATCTATACACCGTAATCGTAAAATTAAAGCAACAAGTATTTATTTTTGGTATTGCAATTTACAACAATCAGTTGTTAAATACTGCAGGCACCGTTGCTCTAAATATACTACAAATTCTAACAGAGATGGGTAACAATCGAAGTTGCTATCGATAAGTAGTCGGTCAATCTCATATTTGCCTACTAAAGCCATTTTTAGGAATTGCCTTACCTTTTGGTAATTCATATGCCTTCAATAATATCGAATGAGAATAAGAATAATATATGCTTATTACTGCAGCTACCAGCAAAATTTTAATTAGCAAATATATAATAACATTACAAAGAAAGCCCCGGTGTATATATCAATTTATCAATGAATCCCGTTGACTTTACCAGACTAGTAGTCCGGCGACGGCATCTGTTGTTAGTCCAGTTCATTATTCGCGTTTTGTCGTTGTCGCGTCGGTCTGCTTTGCACATCATCATCATCATCAAAACCTTGCATAAGCTGGTTAAAGATATCACCAAACATGCCACCAAGTCCAGAGGGTCCAGCATGCACCTGCTCTGGCTGCTCATCAAAGTATGTTATTCCAATTTTCGTTAGATATTTGTTGTAGGAAGAGTCGCGCTTTAAGGAAGGGTCATATAGTTTGCGCAAGGCGCGAAAACCAACCACGCTCTTCGTTTCGATCAATCGCAACAAAAAATACAGAAAATTGATCAATGGTTCCTTGTAGGGGAACTCATGCCTTGACAGTTTCGGATGGTATCGTGTATACTCGATGAACGTGTCATCTGCTGTTTTTCGATCTTTCAATGATAGTTGCTGCAGCACGGCTTGCACCAAAAACAAATCCACTTCCCTGTGGAAGCCCTTACTCTGACTTATTTCAATCAGCACACGTCCACAAAGACTTCCATCCTGACAGAGTAAATAATGATGACGTGCCGACTCAATGTTGCCCTCTGTCCAGAACACATGTGCTATTAGCTTGTGCAATACCGGATGTCCGAACTGACCATGCACAGAGGTGCTCCATTTGACAACGCGATGCTAAATATTATGAAATGCACATTAGATTAATTATTGAATTCATTTTGTAACAATGACATACGATTAGTGTCTCTCGTTCCACTGTAGTTGCGCTTAAGCCGCGTATTAGTCCACCGAACCGGGGTACCCACTCAAAATTGTCTGCGTTCTCTGGTTGCCCACGCTTCTCAAGCGTATCTACCAGCAATAAACACAAATCCGCAGCGCTTCCTTCCTGTTCCTTCTCGATTAGTTTCTGTGCGCCGTCAAATAGCAAATCTAAGCATTCCTGGTAACGTTTCTGGGCCGTATAACGAAAATATAACGTTCGATACATCATATGGGCTTCATAGAACTCTCCCTCCGCCAACGAATGGGATAACTTTGCAAGTACACGACTGACACCCCGCTGATTGGCATTCGAACTGCTGCTGCTGGCACTGCCAACAGGTCTTTCGGCTTCGGCCGTTGTCATATTAACGTTTAATATTAAGAGTTCAGTACTATTTTAAAATATATGTATATTTGTTGACGGAGGATGATTGTAAATTTTCCTCAATAATATAAGATTATTTATGGATACTTATCGTAAGACACACGATTAATATCGATTGTTAGGAAAAAAGTGTTGCCACATCAAAAAAATTTTGCCGTTCGCCCAAGTGTAAAAATCGGAGTTGCTGAAATTGCAGCAACAAAAACCACAACAAAACAATTGCAAAAATACAACCCAATGGAAAGTGATGGAGCGGAAAAAAATACAAATGGTGTTCTTGCAGCATGCGGGGAGAAGCCCAACACCCACATTTTCCCATCGAATAAATGGGTGAAACTAAATGTGGGTGGAAAAATTTATACAACAACAATTGATACGCTCGTCGGTCGTGAACCAGACTCAATGCTCGCGAGAATGTTTCTACAGGATGGTGGCATGATGCCCAGCGAGAAAGACGAGCAGGGCGCCTACTTGATCGACCGTAGTGCTCGGTATTTTGAGCCAATTATAAACTATTTGCGTCACGGCGAATTTGTTTGCGATAAGCACATCAGTTTAAAAGGCGTTCTGGAGGAGGCACGATTCTTTGGTATCTACTCGCTGGTCACACACCTAGAGGAAAAGCTAGAACAAGAACAGCCGCTCGACGATAGACCACTAACACGAATCGATGTGATAAAAGCCATTATACAGACATCAGCAATTACCGAGTTGCGCTTCCAGGGCGTCAATCTAGCTGGTGCTGATTTACGCAAACTGGATTTTCGGAATATTAATTTTAAGGTGGTTAGCACTGTTGATATGTAACTATAATTTACTTATGTATTACCTCTCTGTTTATCAGTATGCCAATATGTCACGTTGCAATTTGTCACATACAAATCTTAACTATTGCTGCCTTGAGCGTGCGGATCTTCAGTATGCGAATCTGGAATGTGCACAGTTGGTTTCAGTGCGTGGCCTTTGTGCCAACATGGTAAGTATCATTCTATCATGATAAAGATCATTATCAGGAAAAAATCATGCAACGAATTTCATTTAAGGAGGGTGCTAATCTACGTGGCTGTAATTTTGAGGATCCTACCGGTGTGCGCACCAACCTGGAGGGTGTTAATCTGAAGGGCGCGTGTTTAGAGAGCAGTAATATGGCTGGTGTTAATTTGCGCGTTGCAAATCTTAAAAATGCAAATATGAAGAATTGTAATTTGCGTGGCGCTTTATTGGCTGGCGCCGATCTAGAACGCTGCAATTTATCAGGTAGTGATTTGCAGGAGGCGAATTTACGTGGTGCCAACCTAAAGGACGCTGAGTTGACGCTGATGGTAACGCCTTTGCATATGTCGCAGGCCATACGTTGATCTGAAGGTGCCTTTACAAGCTTAAGGAACATCACCATGTGCAATTATTATCAATATATATATTCGATCCTAGTATGTGATGCTTGGTCTTAGTTTAGTTTTTTGTACATACCATATTTTGACACTATACATAGACGGTTAAATAAAACAGTATTAAATACGAATTAAAATATTTTAGGCATTGTTTTATTTTGTATGCATATTTAGTTTTTGTATGTAACTATAATGAAATGTTTTATTCTTGCCGCATTTTGTTTGAATGCCGTCTCCTTGTCCCTCTTTAACATTCTATTTGAAACTATCGATGTGTAAATTGTAGAAAGGTGGCAACACCATGCAGTAAAACAGGTACATATTAAAATGTTTTCCATTTGGGCAGCGTTCTAATAAATATTATTAAATCGTAAACAGTTTAAGTGATAACAATAAATGTAGTTAATAAATAAAGAATTATAATAATAATTTAGTCATATCTGCCTTCCTTCTATTTCTAATTAGAACACTGCGAAATACCTAGTTCATTTGTTCCGCTGAGTCAGTAACTCTTTTTTTTTTGTACTCCCAACTCAACACTAGCAGCCTGATTGGAAGATTTGATCTGATTTGTAGAAGAATTATGTCGAAAACGTGTCACTTGGTTGTGGCTTTGGCGGCCATATGCCTTTTAATTGTAACGCAAAGTGTCGGCGCCGATAAAAGGCAGAGCAAAAAGTACAGCAAGGAAGCAAACAGCCCGCATTTCAAGCAGGTCATCGACGAAAAGTATGAGCCGGAAATTCGGAATCTTCAGCGACCTTTTCGCATAGCCAAATTAAATTTGATATGGTCAAAGGCACAAAATGTAAGTAGTGCATATTTTATAAAGTCTACATATTTATAATTTACTCATTTAAGCGCTTGACTGAGAGCAAAATAAAGTCGTTGTACATGGAACTAAAAATACACGATAAAGAGGAGATTGCGTGGAAACAACTAAACTCACAGCACAAAGACAAAGATGGACTGAAAGAGAATGAGCTACGCCAAAAACTGATTGGAATAATGAGCAGCTATGATTTGCTGGAACATTTTGAGGACACACAGAATGTGGAAAAAACAAAGCCCTTTAAGGTATGCATGATAGCTTATAGCAACAGGTTGTAATAATACATAATACTTTTTTTAAATAGAAATTTCACGATCCCGAGGAAAGGCATAAAAATAAAAGTCTTTTTAAGGACAAAAAATTAAATCGCTTGTGGGAGAAAGCAGAAATTTCTGGGTTCACAGCTGAAGAAATGAAGTCGCTAAAGCAAGAGTTTGACCATCACCAGGACAAAGTGGATGTCTATTATAGTTTACTCGAGAATATTGGCACCATGGAAATGAATAACCATGAGAGTAAGTTAGAGCTTACTTTAGAGCCTGCCCAGTTGTTTAATTGTTTATATAATAGATGCTATAAACACCGAAGATCTGGATACATACAACCTCATTTCCAATGATCCCAATGAAAATGAGATTAAAACGCACGCGCAAAATGTGAAGAAGTTTGAAACAGATATGAATGCTTTGCGTGGACACCATGTTGCCATCAAAGATCACTATGATCGTCTAGAACGTTTGGTATCTACCGGCCCCCATAGCCAAGAGTTTATCGAGCCCAAGGTACAGGGTTTATGGCGTGTGGCACAGGTTAGCAATTTCACTGACAAGGAACTGATGTCCCTTAAAACCGAGCTACATCACTTCGAGAGCCGTCTGCTAAAGCTGCGTCATTTACATGCTGAGCATGCTCTGCACAAGGAGAAATACAAGGTATAAGACAGAAATATATAATTATAGTTATATATATAATTAAAGGACTTGGTTCTTTTATTAGGACGAAAAGCACAAGGACAAGAGCAATCGGTTTGACGATGTGGAGGAGCAACTAAAGAAACAAACTCGCAAAGTTGAAAAGCTTCAGGAAAATATTGAAAATACCATATTCAAGCATACTGAACTTTAAATAATTCTTTGATACAGATCGTGCCAAATGAGCAAATTATTTGTAGACAAATATTTGTATTTTTCAAAGCAATTGCTTAGCTTAGCTTATCTAATTAGATTTACTAACCTTTTTGTACCAAAACTTGTGCAGCTGTAGAAAGCAATTGTATAAGGATATTAATTAAAAATCTCATGAAGTATACATTTCTCTCTGTGTATTACTGGCGTTGCCACACTTGTGGCATTTGGTGTTGCCTGCGTGTGCATTTTTCGGGTGAATGGCAAATGGAAAAATCGTAAATAACATTGCAACTGCAGCAGTATTAGCGAAAACTATGTGAAAAATCAGTTGTAATTGTTTTAATTGTAAAAGTGCAATGCATTTGGTGACGTCCCATGGGGCAATAAAAGAGTGTTCTTGTTATTTCTAGGCATACATAGTTCATATGTATATACATAGATGTAGGCATGGTTGAATCTAAAAAATTTGGCATTTTGGAGGACTACACATATCTCCTTGTGACGCTAAATTTAACGCTAGCGCTAGTTGTAATGTTTTTCAATTGTCTCTGTTGCAAAAGAAGGATACCAAAGTAAGTAAACTAAGTCAGAAGCTATGACTATAGCCCAGGTGCTACCCCACTCGGATATTGGTGCAGTGCACGAGTGAAAGTTGCGTCCCAGTTCCAGTTGGATGCACGCGCGCCAAAAACATGAATGTACTAATTAAGTCCAATGTATATGCATTTACATAGAAATGATATGCTCGGCCTGGAGGGCATGGTGAAGCTAAAGAACCCCGATGAAATAATTGTGCTCAGTAGCAACAATGCAAATTCAATTGCTAATGCGGCAGCAACAAGCAACAGCCTGGTGAACAATAGTGAGTCACAAGCAGAGCTAAATGCGTCTACAGTCTCAAACGCTGACTCAGAAAAGAGGTGGGTTATCAACTAATATTTTTGCTATTTCTATGCAAATGGCTTGCAATTGCATTAATTGTAACTGTCCCCCTCCAATAACAGATCTAGCACAGCAGCGCATCGCAGCTTGCCCGACATACCCGTGGCGGAGAACAACGACAATGGCTCGGAATTGTATGAAACTGTTGCCGACAAGCAGCTGGCCAATGCGCATAATCAAAGCCGTACGTTTAAGTCTCCTCTTTAGAAAATTATACTAATCCCACTTCATTATTATATTTCGAGCAGCGCAGCCCAGTTTGAAAAAGCAAACAAGCGTGTCACAGCACAGTTCCATTAGTCAGGCGGATGATGTGAGCTCTCCGTATTCGCGTGTTAAGGGCTTGCCGCATGATTATGCCAAAGTGCGTGCCACCGAACATCCATATGCCCAACTCAATGCGCCGTCCACTTCCAGCTCAGCTGTAGCAGCAACAACAGCAAAAACTTCCAGCAGCAAAGCTGCCTGTTCTCATGGCACCGACTCACTGCAGCGTGGCTCACAGCTCAATGGCGATTCAACACAGCACCTGAACGATGAGTCGACTTCACAGGTAGAAATACCGGCTGCATCAGCTATTGCGGGCATGATTTCGGCCAGTCAGGATCTGCCCTATATGACGCCGCCCATTGCAAATCAACATTTTAGCGGCGACTCACAAGACTCTTCCAGTGAGTGGATTCATATAAACTCTCAAATAACAGTTGATTATAATATTGTACTTTTTATCTTCGCAGAGGGCTATACGAGCATTAGTGTCCGCGAGCCGTTGGCCAACATTCTGGCCCAGCAGCCGCCAACTAAGCAAACAGCTAGAAAAACAACGCTGACGCGTGATGTTAATGACTCGCACTATGCAACTGTCTCCGACGATTCAGGTTAGTCTTAAATGGATAACTATCGTATAGTTCTGATCTAAGCTCTTTACGTTTGTAGATGAAACCTATGCTGCTATTGAGGATCCCAATAATCGACATATACCAAATGCCACCGATATTTATACAAGCGGTTCAGAAACCTATGCACAAATACAGCCTATGCAGGCTAATCCCATCGTGGTGGCAGTCGAGATAAACAGCACCAGTAGCTTGTCGGCAACGAGTGCTGCAACATCTAACAGCGGGCAGCTGCCACCATTGAATCACAGCGCTGGCACAGGATCGACACACCGAGTCAGCAGCAACAGCATGGATCATGTAGTGCCCGTTCCTTCGCATATGGACAGTCTGCGCGCACAAATGCATTCACGGCAAGCATCATCCTCGTCCTCTGTGTGCAATTTAGGCTCGCCTAAACCGGAGAAAAGACAGGCAAATTCACCATTACCGCCAACACCGAAGGCAAGTCTCAGTCAGTCTCAGGGGCAACATCATCTCCATTCAGCAACGAGCAGCAGCAATCTTACATCCGGACGCAGTTCTGTTATCTCTGTAATAGAAGCCGGAGGCGAGGGCAACAATGATGTCAATGATGTGAACAATACATCTCCACAGCGCAAGCACAGCAAGAGTCTAAGTCCATCCAAAGATGTTGAGGGCAACAGAAATATTGAGGGCATGTACGCTAAGGTAAGCATTAACCCGGTCAAAACTGTCAGCCTTATTCTAAAGATTTCATTCTTCTTGCGCAGGTCATGAAAAAACATAAGTTCTCCTCACACCAGCCCGAGATGCTTGGGGTCAGTCCCTTGGATAGTGCGGCAGCAGCGCTTTTAATGGAGCCACAAACTTTAAAATCTGGCGCTGAGAAAGGTCGCTTACGCAGCAATAGTTATACTGCTAAAGATCATGGGTACGAGACGATACCTGCGGATGGTCAGAAGCAAACGCAAAACCAGCTTCCACACGAGAATCGCAAGTCGGACTGCTACGCGGCTAGCATGCTGCAAAAGGAGCGCCAACAGGAAGCAGGTAAAAAAATGCAGCTAGTCACAGTCATATATAGTTCCCACATACTCTGTCTAACTACCTAATATGCCCAATTTGTCTCCTCTTGTCTCTCTCCTTGTGTCTTGTTTATTTGTTACTTTCTTATTCCTTAACCCATGCCACAATTCAGTTGTTTTGCCAAAATGAGAAATTTGCGCGTTTCGACACTTTCGTCAGTTCTTGTTTGGAACTGGCTGTGGTTAGTATAAAGGATTACGCTTTTTAGAAAAACATTTTTATATTTTCATCAAGGTTTATATCATGTGATTTACTAATAACTGCTTTCATTGTATCGGTTGTAGCAACTGGGAGTCAGACGCATCACAACAACAGTAGCAACAGCGTTCAGGTTAAACCTAGTTCGCCCAGCACCAGCACAAAGCACTACGAGACTATAAATTGCCCACCGTGTCAGAAACCACAAAGCAACGATCCTGGCTACGAGCAGCTGCAAACGGCGCCCAACGATGATGATGCCAAGAAGTCCGACTATGATCCCAACTATGAGGTGCTAAAGAGTCGCGCCCATTCTGATGATGGCTACGCCAAAGTGCTAGAAAAGAAGCAACCACCAGTCGATGTTGTGGATAGCAGTGGTGGCTACAGCACCATCCCTGGTGCCGATGCGAATCACAATTATGCCAGCATATTGGAGACCAAGGCACATTTGGTAGCTGTTCCAAACGATACGGATCACTATGCACGCATTGCGGAGACGGTGACGCTCGCGTCGCCCCTTACGCCCAATTCATCATCTATGGCAAATAGCTTGTCCATGATCACGGTGACCACCAGCACCAGCATGAGCTCTCAACAGACGGTCAGCTCTTCACAGTATGAATCGCTTACAGGCACTGGCAGTGAAACAGATCCCAACTACGAGTCAGTTTGTTATTTAAATACCACAACAACCACAGCAACGGCATCAACAACAACTAACAACAGCAGCAACAACAGCAGTAGCAGCAACATAGATCATGGCTATGAGCGCCTGGAGTCGGACAACAATACGCAAGCAAACAGCCCGCTGAGCACGCCGAGTGAGCAGCAGCTGGTAGTAGATGATTACTTTCAGGTGTAACTATAACAACAGTGGCTGCAAGCCGTAGTGAGCTGGATCTCGTTGAACTATAATCACAAAAAACATATACACAGACGCACACCCTAGCATTCTGTTTTGCTTAGCAATCGCTTTTATTTTTTCTTAACGCACATATCACATTGAATGCCCAGCAGCAAAGATTTTGATTAGAGTACTTGGAAACAAAGAAAAAAAGCTTGGATAAGCGCGTGTTGCTTGCATTTTATGCAGCTTCAAATCGGCTCGCACTTTAGACCTAGACTAGCAGTAAGTTATATAAATAGCAAGAACTTCATGTACAAAGTATTTGTATGTTAAGCTCGATAATAATGTGCAAGCGGCAAATAAGCCCATATGCTTTTATATCTTATATATATAGATATATATACATGTACGGCTACATACTATATATTATACAAATACCAGTGCGTCCTATTTTATTTAAATTGAATGCAAGAACAAAGGCGAAGCGATTTCAATTGATTAGAACCGCGTAGATAAAGCAGAGAGATATTAAATAAAGCACAGAAAAACAAAGTAAGCAAATCAAGGGAAGATAACTATATTATAGATTGTATATTTTTTATATGTTAGCATTTTTTTTGCTGCTTTTTTACTTAATTGATATCGCCTGGACATACAGACATACATGTATGTGTAACCCATTAAATACGACTACATTATAAATATAATATAACTGGCAGACAAGCCAGGACAATGTTAAGAGTAAAATAAACCAATACAAAAACAATTTCAAGTATTCAAGCCACAAAAATAATTAAGCTAAAAGTTGAATAAATTATTGATTACTGTCAGTTGTGATGTTTTAATCTTCTTAATATCTTCTTAATATTTTATTCTGCTAAATGAAATTGCTGAAAAATCCCCTTGAGGGGGTTAAAGTTTGCCAAAGCCAATGAAAACATTTTGTTTATAGTGTATAGATATAATTGTATTTATTTATTATATAATCGCAATTGCGTGTTACAGTAGCACGAGCAACACACTCAAAACTACGCGTGCAACAAGACTGTGTACATAGATTCATTTAACATTACGAGCATAAATTGCAATTGCAACCACATCGAGCAGAATAGGTATGCATATATATATATATACGTCTGTCAGTATATAAGAGATTATTTGATTTAGCTAAATGCCGGATGCAGTCAGTTGGTGCCGGCAGCAGCAGCATCTACTGCCGTAACCATTTCTGTGCGCGCCGCGTCCGAATGCTTCATGGTGTTGGCAATGCGCGATCGCACCAGCCACACGTAGTAGATGAACGCACACAGCACAAACTGTAGGAATATGTATTGATAATCAATGATCAAGCTACACCTATGAAATCTTAACGATGAAACGCGCCCGACAAGCGCCGAAACAGCCGCTTCCACGTTTCATTCATTCATACCATCGACTGGCTGTGCCATAACCACTACGTCCAAATCCACACCATTAGCCGCAGGCAGCTGTTGCTGTGGCGGCATCACAAGCATTGCTTGTGGTGGCGCAGGCAATGGTAGCTGTTGCGCTTGAGCTAGGAATGATGATGGCGGCAACGGTGGCGGCTGACTGGCAATTGTCTGCTGCTGCTGGCTTTGATCACGATTCAGCAGTGCAATATTGCTAGCCTTCATGCGGGCTATAGAGGTGGCCAAGCCGCCGCCCATAGCCGATAGACACGGTGACATACAAGGTGTTGAGCATGATGAATTGCTGATTTCACACTGGTCAAGTAGGCGGAGAAGCTCGTTAGTGTCGGGTCCGCCGGAAGTTTTCTGCTGCGGCTCATCCTTCGAATGCAGCGCCAGTGCTGTAGTTAAGTCCCACATTTGTATCGCGCCATTGCAATGACCGGTGAGTATAAAGCGTGAGCCCATTCGCGAGGATACCTCACATTCGTGCACACAAAATGCCGAAATGGTTGAACCATCCACGGAGCGTATGACACAGACACGGTCTCCATTAGAAGCTTGACGCACATACAACTGATTCGTTTCGGGCACCACCTTTTGCACAAATATCATGTCATCGTAGTCGCCGTAGGGTCCGAAATCATTGCCAGCCGCATAGCTATAGTTGCTATCGGTGGCCTCCAGTGAAACAATTTTGAACGAAGCTTCCGGTGTAGATCCCGGCTGCGTAGAAAGCATACCACGAAAGCGAGTCAGACTCCAGGTGCGCACATGATGATATTCGCTGCAAACGGAAACTAAATAACGCTCGGACAGCATGACCTATAAGAAGAACTAATGATTAATATTAAAGATTCAGGCGAGTGGACTAATTAAGTCTTGCCTTTGTTATGGGACTCTGATGCACAAAGAATGTCTCGAACAGATGTGGACCATGTCCGGCAGTTTCCGGATGTTGCACAATGATGCGTACTGCGCCCGATTTGGTGCCATAGGCAATCTCTATCCAGTTTCCGCTAATACTCGACGTCTTTGGCGTTAGATAAACGGATATGGCTGTAATTGGATCCATGTTGACATCCTTATACAGTTCGGTCACCAGCAAATCGTTGTCCTTCATACGCAACGGAAACTTTTGCATGTCTGCAAAACACAAATTTTATTAAAGGAACATTGCCTTTTATGTTTAAGCTACATACCAATATAGTATATGGAACCGTTGTTACAGCCAAGCAACAAGAAGGAGCCTGCTGAGTCGAAGGACAACACAGGCACCAGATCTTGTATTTGCCAGTGCTGTGTCATGGCATGCCAGACGCCAATTTTACCAGAAGAAGACAATGCCACCAGCTGGCTACCAATGAAGAATAAATACTCCACACGTACATTGAGATTGAAGGTGCCAATGTCGGACTTGTTGCCGCCCTCTTGTATGCTCCACAAACGTATCTGACTGCCATACGAAATGGCAATCATTTTACTTGGCATCGGCTCAGCAGTAGATGTGTTCACCTTGGAATTAATGGCAATTCGCTCGATGGCTGCATCGATGTGTGGCGAGGTGAAAACCTGCTGCCAGCCATTGGAGTCCTTGACCCGATAACAAGTGACAAAATGCGCATAGGCCACCGCAATCCAGTTCTGATGTGCCTTGATGATTTGCACGCGCAACGGTGGCGTCCAATTCGAGCTCTGCGTAGGACTAAACACTAGACCCACTTCGTTCCGTATTACCTTATTCAAGTCAGCCGAAGAGTTGCGTGAGTGACGCATAAAGTCTAAGGAAGCGTTGCGCGAATGTCCACCAACTGGATTCCAGCTGGCTGCCGGTGCAACAGGTGCTGCATTAGAGCTTGACGTGCTGTTCGCCGCGCGCCCACAACGCAAATCCCACGACGAGTTGCGCGAATGCGTCGACGAGTGACGCGAAGAAGCTGACGAGGTCTCTGGTACCCGCACCATGGAACCAGGTCGTGCTGCGCCCGATGATGTGGGCAGGGGGTCCATGGGACTGCATGCTGTGGCAGTTTCCACAGTGGTCTGCAACGCATCATTGGGCGGCATGGCCGGTGCCGCGAGAAATCCATAGAAGAGCACATCTCCACACGAGGAGTGATTCAAATCCTCACACAAAGCTAGCCGCTTAGTCAGTGGAGTGATGCCATAATATTCCGCCTCATGGCGCAGTGCACGGATTTCACAGTTTTTAATATCAATATCTTTGGTCCGCAAATAGTTCAAAATGATTGAGAAGAGCGTCGGATCCCGATCAATAAAGATGGCATTGTGCTCATCCCTCAAGCTCGAGATCCGACCGCTCAGCAGGGCCGTAAAGAATGTGTCCGGTATCCACGTAAGCGTTTGCCGTGACGTCGAGAAGCTGCAAGTATATGAAAGGGGGAAGAGATAGCGATGCAGAGAGGGGGTGGAGGGATTTGTCTAGTGTTTTTTTTTTCTTGCATGCGTCATCAAAACTAAAGTTAGGATTGCTCCACTCACCGTTGACCGCCCACATTGAGATTAACCAAATCGCTGCTAGCACTGTGCATAAAGTAGGACATGCCTATTAACAACTATTTAACAGCTGACGCCGCAGCCGCAGCAGCGTCCTCAACACAATTCAATAATCTTTTTCTGTGGCTTCGATTTGTTGTCGCCGTTCGGGGCCCAAGTACTGACCCGTTGACGACTGCAACTGCAGTGACAACGACTGTTGCTGTTAGCTCTGCTTAGCGTTGCGCAGCTGGCAGAGTTTTTTATTCGTTTAAATGAGACGACGACCACTTTATTTTTGGAACGTTTTCTTTTATTTGCTTTAGCTGCACTGCGCTATACATAAATTTTATACATATACTTCTTCACATATGTATGTGCAAATGCTTGTAAATGCTTTGTAGTGAGTGTTTTTGTTGACGTTGTTGCTTATCGCTGCGAATGGTACACAACATTGTTGTGTACATCTGGCAACGCCGCGTGCAACTAACCGTATTTCAGAGAACCCAGCAGGAAATTCGCGGCTGAATAAAACTGAATTTCGATTTTGGGCATGTTTAGATTTCTGTAAAGGCTTAGCATAAAATTAAAACATGTTCTTGTTTCAATTTTATCTAAAATATTCGTAGTTACAATTTACCAACCTTTACCCATGATAGCTCAACTATTTGAAATAGTAGCTTCACAGGTGATAGGGGTGTCACGAAAAGTGCTAATTCAGCAGTTTTTTGTGTAGTCTGTGTTTGTTTTTCAGATCGTACAGCACAATGGCAAGCAGAGGAACAGAGCGCAGAAGCCGCAAGAGGCGTGGCGGACATGCTTTGTGGGTGGCTCACACATATGGCGGGAATGAACCAACAAATGATAACGACACCCGAGCAAACAACAATAAAGGAATATCGAGTAAATGAAAGAAATAACGGCGGTAAAATGTGTAACAAGTAACACAACGCACGCACACGCATACTCAGTGGCTGTTATACTATGCCCTCCTTCCGCTCTGCCCCTCTCAACTTACAATTCAGCGGTTTGTTGGGATAAGAAGCTCCAAGCGCTAACCAAATGCGAACAAATCTTTAGCTGTGCGTGCTTGGCTGTGTTTGTGTGTGTGCACAGCATATTAAAGTGCGCCAATTTTGGTGCTCTTGCTGCTAATACATTTTGCTTATGTGCGATGTGTTCCGGAGTTGAGCGAGTCTTGCATTAATCATAAATAATATATATGGTGCACCAGATGAACTAAAAACGTAGTGATGGAAGCACATTGCCATATTACGCATTCGATATTAATAATAAATATGCCAATATGAGTTTCATAAATACAGTTACTCTATTATTAACTCAGAGCGTCACTATCACTGTCGCTCTCTCATTGGCAGCAGAACTGTGAGCCAGTCCTTTGATTTGCTACTCTTTTTAATTGCAAACTTTTCTTAGCGAAGCTCTTAAGCTGTCTATTTTGTAAGCTGCAAAAATGTAGTTATAAAATTACTTAATTATAATTGTCAAATTATAATCATTAAGCACAACTTTCTATAAAATAATATAGAGAATCTGCACGTCGATCTCACATGGCTTCTGTTGCTTGATTTGCCGCTTACCTTGATTGTCGTGCAATTTTCAACAAGAGCCAAAAAATAAAATGTACAATTTATTTTGATATATTCACAGATGTCCATTCATAATTGTACTTTTAAATATGTATATGTTGATATATCTGTGTAAGCCACGTACGTCAACTTTATGCGCTGGGTGTTAATTGTTAATCCTTGTTGACACCCTTTTTGCTGTGCTTTTCCTTTTTTTGTTGGCTGGCGCCGGGCTTAATTTCTTAAATGGCAAACGCTCTTATCTGGCCTCTTGTGCGTTGTGTAATTAATTGGCTGTATATATATATATATATATATATATATATATATTTATATGTACGAGTATTTTTACTGCTGTAGCCATTGTCAAAGGCCGTTCGGCACGTGCTGCCGTTGCTGTGGAGCAGCCTAATGATTAATTACAATTTAATTTGTTTGCCATTTCGTCGGCCTCCCAATGTACAGTGGTTCGCAAATATATGAAATGAGCATTGTCTAAAGCGTAAAGTGAGTATCGAGTTCATTTGCATGGGTCTCAGAGCACAGTTTATGTATGTATATGTAGCTGTACGGCACACTTTTTATTTGGGCTCAGAGCGAATTAATTGTTTTTATGTTTTTTTTTTTTCATTTGATGGCGCCCTACCATTGTTTGCCTCGTCAGTCAAAATATGCTAATTATGTGTTGGGAGGCTTATTGGCTTATAAAGCCAAGCTATGCAGCCGCACCAGGTTTTTATTTTCGTTTTATCTTCTATTCAATAGGAATACTTTAAAAATTTTAAGCTGCATTTCAATTATGCTTTTCAAATGGCTGTTCATTTATCGTGTTTTGAACGAAGCCCCAGTTGACAAATGGGCTGTAGTTGTGTTTGGTCTAACATGAAATTAACTCATTCGTTGCGGCCTACAACAAAAGGCGCAAACACACACACCCACTCACTGCCATAGTTATACAGGCGCCCAAGACTGAGGTCAAGCGACGCCATTTGTCAGACGGCCAAACAAAAACTTTGCTTCAAGTGCTTCTTGCAATGCTTATATGAATGCCATTATTAAATGTGTGTGTGTGTGTGTGTGTGTGTGTGTGTGTGTGTGTGTGTATGTATGTGTGTGTGTGTATGTGTGTGTTTGCGTCTGTGTTGGTGTAGCACATGCTATTCCCGTAAAGAAAACATAAACAAACGCCCACACACAGCGTGGCGTAAAAGCTTCCAAACGTGCCAACAAAACTATGTCACGAAAGCTTTTACGCGTAACTTAATGAGCATTGTCTAAATGCGATGACGACCACAGCAGGCGCAACAGTTTTGAGGGTGTGTGCAGCACGGCAACACTGGACGCTCTCCCAGCACAGCGCGCTCGCTCTCTTTCTCTTCCTTTCTCTCGCTCTCTGTGATTGTGTGCTGGAGCAACAGTTAAAGGCACTGTTGCTCTCACCCTTCGCGCGGCCCAGACAAAGCCTTGCCGCTACGCTGCTCTACCTGAAATTGTTGGGGTCTTACCCATACATAAGCTTGTAGGTAGGTGTGTGTGTGTTAGTCAGTCAGAGCAGCAGCAGCGCTGTCAGCGTCGCGTGTGCATGTGTGTGTGTGCTTGTTTCTCTGCTTGGGCATCCAGGACCTACTGCGCTTTGTAGGCCGTTGGCGTTTCAGTGCCTGGATTCCTGTTGCCCAGTTCACATCGTGCCAAGCGGAGTGCGCGTGTGGAGCAGTGTTGTAAAAGTCGCGAAGTTAAGTACCGTTAAATTTTTTGTATATTTATCAAATGGCTGAGCGCGTATTTGTATGTGTGAGTTACTCTTTGTAGTCACAGCCACGTGCGCTTATTACAAAAAAGAAAAAATAAATAAAATAAAATGTATCAAAATCCGAAAAGATGAGATTTTTGCGTGTATCATAAAACACAAAAAAAAAACAACAAAAACTGGAGCACGTTTATGGGGCAATAAACCTTAAGTAATACATTCAAAAATTGGTATGTCCTAGAGAGCACACATTCAACCACCATGTATTCATAATTAAATGTAAACTAACATAATCGCAAGAGAAAAATAAAATCAGAAAAGAAGAAAAACAATAAAAAAAACTTTAACATCGATATTCAATTATGCGTGCCCTTGCACATTTTTCCCATTTTCCACGCCATCGAACAATGTAGTAGGATGGCACCTCGGCTTGCCCGACCAACCGACCGCCCGCCCTTTTGGCTGCCGTCGAGGTTTTGGGCCACTGTGCGTTGTCTGCTCAACGCACATCCTTTTAGGTGTTTTAGGTGCGTCTGGTATGGGCTCTATCTGTTTTGCTTTCATCTTCAATTTCCGTTGCGCTCTCGCGCTTCTGCCACTGCCATGACCGTTGTCGCCAGCGACGGCGTCTTTTGCACATGAAATGCCAAAGAAAATTACAACTTATTGAGTTGCAAAGCGCGCACACACACGCCCACACACACATACTCATGCATAAACATGCACAGAGAGACAGTGGCCTCTCGGGTGCGTGCCACAGTTTGCGAATTTGTCTTGGGCATCACCAGCGTCTCCATTTGCATGCCTCGACGAAAACCGTCTGCAACCTACCCATGTGTGTGTGTGTGTGTGTGTGTGTGTGGGATACATTTGCTTAAATTTATGTGACGACTGCCCAGGCGCAGTTACAGCAGACAGACGATGCTGGTTAACTTGCAACCGCAGTACTGACCGCCACCTTGAGCGGCTGTGTGGCTGTTTGCTGAGTTCGTTGACTTGTTTTGTTTATGGCCCGCCAACGGGTTGAGTATGAGAGTTTAAATTAATAAATATGCAAAGCTTAAAACTTTTATTCCTCATATCTAATAACTGAAACTAAGAAAGTTTAAGATATATAGGCATCTATAGCTAACTATTTTCTTTTTCCAACATTACAGTATTTTCATAAAAGGAAATTCAATGTCCACATTTGTATAGAGCTCTAATGTCAACGCCAACTATCTGGCAACGCTGTTTGCTTAAGTCATTAGTGCAATTGCTACTACTATTTTGAGGCTGTCTACTACTATTTGCAAATAAAAACTACCTTTTTGTGCACTTGTCATAGCTGATGCCGCTGCTGTTACAGTGTTTGTGCCTTTTGCAACACGTTGCCATTAATACGTACTTCCCTTGACACTTGTGAGCCAATAAACTTGAAAAAAGAGCAACAGTTGCCGCACACTGACATACAGTACTGACACACACATACACTAAAGCACCTTACACTCACTCACACTTACAGACACACACACGCATTAGCCGAACGCTGACTTCGTTATTTGCACGAGCTACTGGCTCGCGATTCGCCTCGCATTTGCAACATCCAAACTTTGTTGAGCCGCACATAACGCAGATGTCCTTTGCCGTGACCGAATCGCTCAGTCGCTCAGTCGCTTCGTCACTTAGCTTGTTCGCAAGTCGCGCCGGCTTTTCACGTAGCTAACCAAACGTACGTAAATTGTTGGTGGGGTTGAGAAACGTTTGAGTCGTTGATGGCACGCATGCTGTGATATGTTAATTTTCGTCTTTGGCAACACTTAGAAAACAATTAGTGCCGTTAGTTTGGGCGTGTTACGCCCCCGTGCGCTACATTAACGTGTTGTTGCTGCTGCTGCTGCTTCAGCCGAATGGCAAGTGAAAAGTTTTAATTGTCTGCGTATTTTCATTGAGAAACTTTTGCCTGGTATGTGTATGGCTGTGTGTGCGTGTATTATTGTGTATATTACTTAATATTCATGCTCATCTCAGCAGTTTTTATAGAAAGTTATGGCCCTCAACTGCCACTCAGCCGCGATATTTTTATAATAAGCAAGAA